GGGGCTATTATATATATAGGATTAATACAAATATAAAATTTGTCACATTTGATTCATGTTACTTTCAGCATCTTACCTCTAGAGTTTCGTAGATGGACCCCCAGCAATTGTTTTGTCCCCTTGTCAGGATGTCAGGATATCAGCAATTGGAGAATTTAGAAAAGAATGAAGTATGAATATGTTTCATACCTTTACTTGGTGTATAAATATTTCATGAGGTTATTTGAAATGTTTCATTTCTTTAAAATAAAATTTAATTTCAACCCAATTTTTCAAAGAATATTTTTTTTTTCATATGAGGTGCAACACTTCCCAGAATGAGCCAGTGAAAGCAAAATTTTGCTTATATGATCAATATTGGTTGCTGTATATTCCAAGTACTGCCCTGGTGAAGTAACACAATAAATGATTGTGCCAGTGCTGGAAACATTCTTGGAACTCTTTCTATCACATACAAAGTATTCCTTTGTGAAGTAGTGCACTTAATGAATGATTGTGCCATTGCTGAAAACATTCTTGGAACTCTTTCTGTCACATACAACGTATTCCTTTGTGAAGTAGTGCACTTAATGAATGATCATGCCATTGCTGAAAACATTCTTGGAACTCTTTCTGTCACATACAAAGTACTCCCATTATGAAGCTGTACACTTAATGATTGTGCCATTACTGGAATAATTCCTTGAATTTTTTCCTAGAATACCATTCAGTAATGTTGTCACATGTTGCTGGATGTCAGCAAGTCTTTGTCCTTTATCAGGTGTTTTTCAATTTTGGAAATAACCAAAAATCATGCAGGATCAATTCTTTTAAATAAGATGAATGGTTTCATTTTTGTAATGGATTCTTTTAATTCATGAACTCTTAAATGCATCATGTGCAGGAGAATTATCATGGGGAACAATCCATGGGTCAGGCCAGAGTTTGTTTTATTTTCCTCCAAACCGATTGTTGGAACACTTTCATATAAATATGCTAAGAACTTGTAGTAAACTATCTGCTAAAGATCAAAGAAACACATCAGCATGGTCTTGAACTATGAGCAAGATATGCATGCTTTTTTTAGCTGAGGTGAATTCTTTGCTTTCCACTGAATGCCCCACCATTTTTTTTCTGGATTTTATTGAAAACTCCACATTTGATCGCCATTAATGACTCTGTCAAAGACCGCCTGCATTATTCAGAAGATCAGATGAAACATGAAGACAGCAATGTTTCTTCCCATCAAGATTTTAGGTACCATCTTTAATGAAAATTTTCTCATTCCCAAATCCTGTGTTATAATCGAGGCTTATGGTCATATCACATTGAAACTCCGGTTCATGTACAATCACCAAAGTTAAGCAATATTGAGACTGGTCAGTTTCTAGATGGGTGACTGCAAATACCTGTTGCTGTAAGCTTGGTGGTCTTGGAATTGTTAACTGGAGAGCCATGTTCCAATTCCAGTCAAGTTTGTTAGATTTACTTATGCACAAATACCCTTGGGAAAGGTATGAATCAACCTATTCTTCACCCAGCTATGGGTTAATCAATAGAACTTGTATCACTAAATCTCCCCCCACAAAAAAAAAAAAATATATTCTTACAATCTAAAAATATTTTATGGCTTTGAAAAACTGCAAAGCTGTAAAAAACAAATCAATCAATCTGTGTTATAATCAGCAATAATTTTCACCTATTATTATTATTCAGTTCTATTAGTCACAGATGTAATCTTCAGTCTGTGTGTGACAAAGTTTACACTCTCTTCCTATTTAAATCTATCCTTTGTGTTTTAGGGTGTCCACTTCTTGTATCATCATGCACATCTCACCTTTTCTTCAACCATCTGGACCCCACCCAAAAAGACTAAATTTCTTTTTTTTGCATAGGTATGATAATAGGCTTAATGTTTTATTCACATAAAACTTAATGTTAATCCACTGCACCATATTCCCTTCACTCATTTTCCGCTAACAGTATAACATGAATACGTATTACTTCCTCTACTGCTCAGCAATGGATAACAAATCTGGTCTGCATCTCAAGAAAGTTACAACATGTTCAGACAACACTGCATTTAATCTACAAATTATTGCAACTCATTTATTATTCTTGCTTTTCTTTAAACTATTGGTTCTAGTTTTTCTTATAAAGATTAACTATGACATTTTTTACATAATATTTCACTTCTCTTTGCGGGAAGTCTTTGATTTGAGTGATGACTAAAGGACTGTGTAAGACCACACCTCACACTCTTGTGACTGAGCTTACTCTCCTTGTAGCAAAATAAGATAGCTACCTTCAGTACATTCAATAATAAAACTATACAAGTAGTTTTGATTTTTGAGCACACAGATTCAGAAAATCTCCAAGGACTACTTTATTCTATTTGACTTTACACCACGATGTATTAAACATCATAAATCTCTCTATATTCTGATCTTCATCAATGATCTTCCTGATGCCATCAACTCGTAAGTTGGCATCTATGCTGATGATATTACTACTTACTCTTGTCTCAATAGTAAATCTGGCATCATTGACAAAACTAACCTGGCCGTAGGCCTCAAGAAGGACTTCCAATCTGTGGTTGACTGGGGAAGGAAATTGCTTGTAAAGTTTAATGCCTCCAAAACGAAACTGTTCTCATTTACTCACCATAGAGAACCCTCCCTGCCTGCCATCAGGATGGCTGATGCCCAACTCTACAAGAGTGCCTCTCTGCACCTGCTTGGTCACATGCTGTCCATTGACCTACATTGAATCTATAGCTTCATCTATCACAAGGAAAGTTGGTTCTCTGTGTTGCACCAGAAGGTTTTTCTCACCTGAGTTCATCCTTCAAATCTACAAATCAACCATGTGTTCTTGCATGGAATACTGCTGCCATATGTAATCTGGTACTCCCACTGTTCCTCTTGAGGTCCTTCACAGAATCCAGAGACGGATACGCAATGTAATTGGTCCTGATCTGGCATCCCATCTATAGTCTCTTTCTCACAGATGAGCTGTGGCTTCCCTCTGTCTTTTCTATAATTATTTTCATGGCAACTGCTCCGATGATCTACTTTCATGGCAACTGCTCCGATAATCTACGTTCCCAAACTGCATGAATTTAAATGTGCTACTCGGTTGGCATCACTGTCGAAACAGCTAAATGTAGCCATCTCTTCTACTCCAACAGCTTCTTATATCACACCTTGGCATAGGCAGTCTTTTCCAACCAGTGGGTTGCATTAAATATGGCTCATCATAAGGCAGACCACACTACTAAAAAGATACAGGGTAATCTTCCTCAATGGTTAAATATGATGAAAATGTTACCTTCAATAAAAAGTTACAAAATTCAATAAACATTCTTATTAATCATTGTTTATGTGCATGATTATGTGAGTGAACAAGTGAGGACAAAATGAAACAAGCAATTTTATTAAATGTTATTTTCCTTATGAAATTCAGCATGCCATTCAGAAAGCCAAATAGGCCGCATGTGGCTTGTGGGCCACATGATTGCTTTAGCTGGTTATTTAAAGACAGAAAATATTTTTATATTATAAGATTTTTTTTTGAGATAATAATAATTTTTACTGATACAAGTTTTACTAATTAACCTATAACTCTGGGGAGACAAAAAGGGTATATGCATGTATGTAAATATAACAATCCTGACTGGAATTGGAACTGAAGACTCTGATTTCCAATTCCTAGCCATTATCCATTGCATCACCTGCACATCCAAATTTACAACACCTGGTATTCTCAAACAGTTACCCATCTAGGTACTGGCCAGGCTCATCATTGCTTAACTAGTGTTTCAACTTGATATGGCCTTAATCTCGTGTCAAAAGCTGTTTCATAAGAGAACGTCTTTGTTGCTTTATTAATTGTTTACACACAAACACACATCTACAATATAATAACACACAACTTTTAAATCCTATAGTTGTTTCCTTATAAGGAAACATTTGACATTCATTGCCAGAACAGCCAGTATTACTAAAAGTTTAAATTGCAATTGCAATAAATAAATTGCAGTTTTAAATTGTATCGCACTTTAATTGTGATTAGAGCTAATTGACTACTCCAACTTATGGTTTTTCATGGGCCGTATTAACCCACGAAAAAGACCTATTGGTTATCATTAACTTAAAGAAAAAACTATCCGACTACTTCTTTTGTACTTTGGCCCACATCTACGTGGGACCTCCTTATTAAAAAAAAAAAAGTACTTGTGTCGCGTTGTTTAAAATTATCTTAATGCCAGTTTTTACAGAATATTTTTCATGAAAAATAAAAGTTATTCTCAGAACGACAGCAAGGCACCAAGAGTAATTCTTCACTAAAAGTGAAAAAAAAATAAAAATAAAATTTCTTTCTAGGAGGGTCACGGTAGAAAGTTGGTTTATGGCAGAAAAAGTTAAACCAAAAAACACTCAGTTGAGAAAAGTAATAATTAAGAATATTTTTTATATTTTGTTCACTCAATAATCCTTCATTTGAAACGTTAATATTGGGATTCCGATTGATTAAAAAAAAAAAGAATAATGGCAATGCGCACCAAATCACCTGGTGCTAGAAAAGCTAGCTAGCTCATTAGTACATCTGTTGTCTTTTTAGTACTTTGTTATTAGACATAACAACAGCATAGTTGTAACTAAAAATTAGTCATCATATTAGTGTTTGTTTAAATGGGGATTAATATTGATTGATTGACAATCGATTAGTGACGTAATCCGGTCAGAAATGAAACGAAGTTTTGCGGTGTGGGGGGGGGGCTTCCTCGTTTTGATAACCTAGCCTCGTTTTCATTCAATAACAACTGCACGTCGTTTTTATGTCATGGCGTCACCGCGTGCATGTTTTCGTTTAGTTTAATGCTTGGAGACACTTATTTTAAACATTTTCAGTTGTTTTAGGCTTGGCATTTGCTTTTGGTTACTGCTGCATTTAATTAAAACAAAATGGAACGTGCTGATCTGAATATTCTTCTAAAACATGTGGCCGAGGCCTTAAAAATGGACGAGAAAGATAGCATTCAGGTAAACTTCTTTTCCTTGTTCGTTTGTAAATTAAAAAAAAAAAAAGAAAGAAAGAAATTAATGAAGTCAATCGAGTTTATTTAATTTTTGTCCTTTTTAGTGAATTATCGAAGAAAATACTTTTTTTAGTAACATCTTTCAAGGTCGTTACCATTTATTTTTTTTTAGTCCTCCCGTGAAAACAAATATCAATTTAATAATCTCCGATTGACTTTTTTTTTTCGTTTTTCTTTACAAAACACTTAAAAATCAATATTTCAGTTGATTAAAAAGTAACTTATTAAACAATGTTTGACTTGATTACTATTTTGGACCCACTATCCTGGAGAAAGACAACAATTTTAATAAAACTAAAACACTTGACTTGATAGTGTTACACACAATAAGTAGTGAAGAATGAATTCATAGAAAACTTTGAAGAATAACAACTAAAGTTAACCTCACCTTTTATTGCGATAGATCCACCTTCAATATGTTATTACAAGTAACGGTAGATAAAGCAGTAACAATAGTTCAATTAAATTACATTATTATTAGTGATCCGATTGCGAGGCCTGAGGTGTAACTTGTCAAAAATATTGTGGTGCGATTGCATCACATTTTTTTTAGTCAAGTAGTCTTCCCTCATAAAAGTGACAGTAAAACAAAATTCAGTTTAATTTCCTTCTTAGAAAACTAAAAGGAAGAATAAGTATTTCATGCCTCTTCTTACAGAACCACATTTGACAATCAATCAATATTCAATTATGGGACACTCGTAATATTTTGATAGTAACTTTTTTTTTCTTTTTAAAGAGGGACTCCATTTATTACAGAAAAACATATTTTTGTCAAAAGGTTATTTTCATTTTTTCTATAAAATGTGTAAGATTGAGATAGAAAAAATAATTATACGTCACCTTACCTTCCTTAAGTTGACGTTTTTTCGGTTTTTTTATATTTATTAAATTTTTTTTTTTTTACTGTCTGAAAAAACTTCTATCACAAAATTAACTTTTGTTAATTAATATTAATCAGTTTTTTGCCTTTTTTACTGGCGAATTTCTGTAGTAGACACATAATGTTTAATATCCTTTCGTTTTTTCCTCAGATTTTTTTTTCACTTACAAAGAAAGAAGACGCTAAAAGTATGAACTATATAAACTGTTTGGGAAAGTTAACATCTGTTGGGATTTTATTTGTTTGTTCAACGAATGATTCATGGAAACTAAAAAGCTCTTTTTCTTTTATATATAATAAAATATATATATATATATTTATATATATATAAAAATATGCTAATTTGATAATCTGTCAACAAATGCATCTAATTTAAGTTCTAAAAAGCACTCGGGAATGACAAGCCCCAAAATGTCAAAAAATTATCTTTGGTTTAAGAAGTATTTTTTAGGTTTTTAAAAGAATCAATTCATACATTTGTTTTTTGTGTAACCCAAAGATTAAGAAGAGGTAATTCTTTTTTTGTAAGCTACATATGTCGTGATTAAAATTTAGTTTGGTAAATATTTTTTGTACAACGTGTTTTTTTTGTTTTTTTTTTTTTTTTTTTAAAGTCATTTATGAGGTACAAGTGATGAATATAGCCAATTTTTGGCAATCAATTTTCACTTTCGGTATGTATAAAGAAAAAGAAGAAAAAAAACAACAGTAGCAGAAGTTATGCCTGCTTTCATGGGCTTTTTTTTATTTTTTTTATCAAAATAGATGTGTGGAATAACACAGTGAGTAATTCCACCTACATTTTACGCGCGCGCGAGTTTTGTAGGCGGAATTACTGTTATTCCACAGATGACCAGAGCTTGACAGATGATCTCTCCTCTGACAAAGCTCTCTAACAGCCCAGTGGTGGTGGGGGGAACAGGCTGGTCACATTCAATGCCTCAAAAGCCAAACTAATAACCTTAAATCATCACCAAACTGTCCCCGAACTACTGGGGCTGAAACTCACCTTAGACCTCATGGAACTTGTACATATGACCCATCACTAAAAAGGTTTCGGAAAATAGTCAGTTCCTTGAACTGCTCCTGAGAGTACCTGATAACTTCCAGCTATCCTCTTTGCAAGAGCCAGATCAGGCAGAAAACGGAGTACTGCTGCCATATGTGGGCAGAAGCTATTCAGTCTTCATTTTCCAGTCTCAATAGAGTCTAAAAGTGTGTCTGCGTCCTTGTGGGTGACAAATTATTTTCCACCCACGAAGCCCTTGTCACAGATGAAACATTACAAGCCTCTCACTGCTCTATCACTATTTCCATGGAAAGTGTTCAAGCAAACTACATTCCTTAGTGCCACCAGTCCTAACCTGGTAAACCACCCTCATTCCATTGGTCAGATATAAATTTCACTCAAGCAGCTTCTTCCCATGAACTGCTGCTTTGTGGAATTGACTCCCAATATAATGCTTCCCCGATCACTACAATCTTAACCTGTTTAAGTCTAGGGTTAACCATTATCTTCTCCACATATCCCTATAAACTGTACCTCTTATTCTGTAACCCTCTATCTCAAGCAGCTCCCGGGTCTTTTACAGAGTAAACATTATTGAAAAGAAATACCATTTTGAACAGCATGTCATTTATTGAAAGCAGATGAAATATACAAAAATCTGAATTGAGGAATGCATGTCACACAATATGTAAATAAAAGAAACCAACTACCAATCTGAGTTTGGAATTCAACTATTTTTATAAGAATTTGTTGATGGCTTTTAAAAAAAAAAAAAGGTTAAATTTTACTGAGAATAACACTAATTTGGATGAATTAAGTATTAAAACAATATTTTATGCATCTTTTTTAGTGGATAGAAAATATCCATGAGGCTGACCTTTATGTTCAAATGGAAAGTTCATTGTTTGTTACAATGTTTCTGATTGGTCAGAAAATGTAAGATTTTGCACATACAAGAAACTAATTGACCTGAAATTATCCTTATACTGACTTTCACATTCTTTTCAACAGAATAACTTATAATATTCTATTGAGACATAAAAAGAGACTTTGGAAACACATGGTAAAATGTTTTCATTGTTTTTTTTTTATATTTCCGGACACATTTCCACCTGTCTATTCTGTGGTGAGATTGGAATTGGTCAACATGTGCCAGTGAAGCTTTGAAATTAACAGCTTTATTCATGTTTTCTATTATAGTGTTTTCTAACACTGTTCTAATTTTGGAATTATTCTTCAATTAACACAAAAAGATTAATCAAGGTTAATGAATAAATAATTAACTAATTAGGAAATAATTAAACAGTAATTCTAATGTGTTGCAACAATTATAGCTTTTTTTTTTTTTTAAATTTCAAGTATATATTTTTATGAAGATTTTCAATTTTTCAACTGGGTTTTGTCAACAGGCTTTTCAACTTTTATTATTAATTAACCGGTTAAGAGTGAGTTTTTGTTTACATTGTTCAGGCTGTTGTCTTCATCTTTGTTGCCATATTTGCAACATTTCAGCAGTCATATACTCTGGCCTTCTTCAGGTGATTGGAATTTTAAACTGAACTCTTTATTTTGTCCACAGGGGTAGATTGTTTTAGTTCCACGTGCCATGTTTTTCTGGATGTCTCAGTTATCCGCCTTTAACTCAACTCTCCAAATTTTTGTTCACCACTGCAGTAGCCAGATATTGAACTCACAACTCTTTGGGTCCTGACACATGGCCCAGTGGATAAAAGTGTTGGTTGGATCCAGTGACTTGACACAAGGGGTTGTGGGTTCAATCTCTGACTACTGCAGTAGTGAACAAAAACTTGGTGAGTTAAATTAAAGGGAGATAACTAAGATATCTGGAAGAGGTATGGCATGTGGGACTAGAACAATTTACCCTGGTAGGTGAAATAAAATTTTCAATTCAAAATTCCAGTCACATGAAGATGGCAGGCGTGTACAACAGCCGAAACGTTGTAAATATGGCACCAAGATAACAACAAACGTCCAAACAATGTAAGTAGTGTAAATAATTACAATACCTCATCTCAGAAATAGAGACGAATAGTATTGGTTTAGAATATTCATATTCATTTAGATTATTCATTATGTATTTATTGACTAAAGAGAAAAATGATCCTAAATAAATCCCTTTATTTCAGTTTTCTTTTGTTCATTGTTCTTTTATAAGATTTAGGCATTTCTCTGTTCTCTCTCAAATCTTATCCTCAGATCCATACACTCAGCACTGGAGATGGAGGAGACAAACAGAAATTGCATTTATTTATACAGGGTGTAGCAGAAATACCTGGGGTCAGTGCATACTACCTCTGAAACACCCAACCTTCTTTTTTCTACCTTCATTTATATATGTTACAAATTAAACTAAGCACAACTGACTATTAAAGGATGGAAAATTTTTGCCAATTTTGACATCATTCTGGGGTCTTTTTTTTTTTTTTGTACAAATTTGTGAATTTGTTTTGCTCGTGCTAAGTCTAAAAAAAACACAATATAAAATTCACTATTTTTTCATTCATGATGTTGAATATGTTAAAATTATTCAACTTTTTAACAAGAAAAATCTCAAATTGATATTAAAAATTGCTGCAAAGCATTGTTGATTTACTTAAGATGGAATGATCTATGACATGTCTCTAATTGTATTTATTTAAATTTTTTTCTAGTCAAATTGTTCACATATATTGCATATTCGGACTATTGTCCTCATCTTTGTTGCCATATTTAACACTACGTTTTGGATGTTGTACACTCTGGCCTTCTTCGGATGGTTAGAATGTTGACTGAACCCTTTATTTTACTTGCCAGGGTAGACTGTTCTAGTTCCATGTCATAGGAAAAACTGCCCTTTTGACACTCCTTCTTATTACAAGTACAAACGGCCATGTCTGCCAAAATTCATCAAAAAAAAAAATTGTTGACAATGTTTTATACAAGAAATTTGCATACTTAAGGCTATTATATCTACTTCGGCAGTTAAGTGTAAATAAATATCTATGTCTATATAAAATACCATATTTTTTTTAATTGTATTATAAAAAATGTACTTTTGTCCTTCTCATTGTCATAATAGGTCAAGAGAAATATTTGACCTGGTATGTTAATATGAAATGAACACCTTTCTTACTTTTTATAAATAGGAAATGAAGAATGTTGTAACCTTTCCAGTTATTTTAAATTATTTTCTAGTTGCAAGAATTTAACCTGAAGTAAAACACAGAATCTGAAAAAAAAAAAAAAAAGATTTGGGGTATGGGAGTAATTTCAGGATAGAAAAGCCATTAAAATAGTTTGAGTCAACAGGAGATGTTTTTCTTGCTCAATAGATTTTGACCCTCTTGTAGCACATTCCACTTAAGATATCTTTTGTCATTTGATAAGTGACAGGTCAACATCAGCTGAAATTGATACTCTGCACGAAAATTGAAATCGATTCAGTTATATACTTTTTCTTTTTTGCATTTGAAATCACCTCATGTCCATCAACTTGCCTAACTTTTCTGCTAACCTGATGAATATTCATGAGCACCCCTATACCATAAATTTGTCACAAAATAAAACCCTTACATTTGCCTTGATAGGACAAAATGTGTCAGCTAAGTTTTCCTTTTGTCTTTATTCATTTGAAATTATATTACAATAAAAAAGAAAACACAACATTCTGTACTGAATCATAAAATTACAAATTAAATATATTGTATCCTAAAAGTCAGGCATCATTCATTATTATATAAATTCCATTTTAAATCCTCTTGTATTTTTTTTTCCTCTTGGTTAAATAGAATTCATTTTAATTAGGTTTGCAGCAGAGGAGACAAAAAGAACAATTTTTATACTTCTGGGGTTAATTCATAAGCTATATTACAGGGTGTTTCAGAAATACCTACAATATTTTAAAGGTTGAAAGAAAGACCAAGGTAACTGTTATTAAAAAAATTTATTTCACTATTTAAGCAAAGAACTTTTTATCATTTGATTTTAAAAATGGCGTTCTCCAAAATGGTGGCCTCTATTTGCCGTGCACTGTTGTTGGTGATTTCTAAAGTTTTCCTTCACCTGGAAGTTTGAGCACTTTGAGGTCTTCCAGGTGACTTTCTTTTAAGCACTGAAGCTGTGGTCCTGAAATTTTCAACCCATAGGAATATCAGTTTTCTTTTTGGAAGAGCATCATTTTGATGCAACATGAAATGAGCACGAAAAGATCTGTGTTGCATTTACAGATTCACCAGTCTTTAAAAAAAAAAAGTTTTCAAGAGCAAATGCATAATGTACACCAGTCCAAGTTATGATGAAATCTAAAGAAAGAAAATGGTAAAACATTAGCTATATGAAGACACCATCACTAGTTGCCTAAGTTCACTTGCACCATACAGGTGGCAGTTTAAATTGTGGGAGGTATTTCTGCCACACCCTGTATATCAATCCATAACAATAAAAATGTAACAAATTGTCAGAAAGTGTGATTTTTTTTCTTTTCACCAAACTCCTGTATATTTATTAATGTCTGTTTTGAAAAAGTCAGTAATCTACTTTTTTTTTCTTTTTTTTTTTTGTCCCAAGTTGATAAAGGCTGTACCAACTTTTAAAAGTGCTTTTACTATAACAATATTGGATAAGTCTTTTATCTAAAACATTCTTTTTCAATATTCTCTTTTGTAAGCTGAAATTACTTCATGACATTTATTTGCTGGATATTTAATGACTAAATGTTGCTGGTTTAATTTCTTAAAATATCTTAAATATTAGATTAGACATTTGTATCTTGATTGTTATCAGTTTAAAGTAAATAATTTGTAAAGCATGTAGGTATTGTTTAGGATTAATACAAGTAAAATTTGTCACTTAGTTTATTGATATGTGAAGATTAACAGGGTTTCAAGGCACCTAAGATCAGAGCAAAGTATCTGTTCTAGTTGGTCTTGTATTGGAAACAAATTTTCAGCAGAGGCAAATTTCTTCAGCTTTTCAACAATCTGCCTAGAAGAAAATGCCTAAAAAAACCCTCTGACTTAGGAACATTGCACCCATCATCTCAAGTTGGTAGTTTTAAGTGTGGAAGTCACATGCACTTAATTTCACCTTAAGACTTCATTGTACAGACAAAGGTTGATAAGCTATAAAGAAATGAATCAATTCATTGCACAAACCTAAAAGCCTTCCACTGATCAAGTCCTACTGCAAAGAGGAAAATGGCAAAGGAAAGTTGACACTGGAAGCTACAGTCACCATCTTGCATGTCGGCAGTTCAAAGGCCCAAATTTATGTTCAAAGGCTTTTATCAGGCAATAGTTTAAAAACCGCACTCTGTGTGACTTTTTATACTAATTAGACCCAAAACTAAAGGGACCTTTGGTCCAGTTTAGAAAACAGCAATGATAATTTTGAAGAAATAATTCCTCAATTAACTCCATGGAACTTGAAAACTTCACTTTAATTATGACCAAAACTCTGATTTGGGCCAATTTAACTATTATATTTGTCTTGCGACAACAATGACATTAAAGTTGTGATATCTGTGATGGGTGTGGCTATTGTATATCAAAAGTGTATCAGAAGCAAAATTAAACTTAAGCATTACAGGAAAGTATATTTTCATGTCATCAAAAATGGTCATCAAATTTGTGCCAATCAAAGACCCGTTTTTATTATTACTTGAAGCATTGTCAAGTATTATTCCTTTATTGTTTTTATGAGTATTTCTTTCATTTTAATTTCAGTTATTTTTCATGACTCAGTCTATCCTGTCAAGAAATAAATGTGGCGAATGCGTGTCAGTATAGGCATAAAAGAGGCTTCAAATCACATGGACATGTTTGTCAACACCAGTTACATCTGAGTTTTTCCCATTAGCAGCGGGACAGTTTGGTATGTCTAGATACAGGCCTCTATGTTACTTCTCAAGATCATGTACTTTGTAAGATGCCTCATGCCAATAAAAGCAGGGGGAAAACCAGGAGTCGGAAGTTGGCAAGACATGGTGTCTTATGAAGTCGTTCCTGTGTGCATTTTTGTTCTTCAATTTGTTTCTGAGGCAGTTTTATTTATGTTACCTCCCATCTCTTTCCCCTCTCTACCTATTAACCCCCACCCCCAGTTGTTGGGAGAGCAATCAGTTAGGTGTTTCTACCCCAACCTCAACACACTCTTGCTGTGCCTTACAACAATAATCTTTTTTAATTATTTATGATGTCATTGTAATTGATATATTTTAACAATTCATAAAATTCTGTTTCGTTAAACTTTTTATGTTTTTTCATTTACAAAATTCTTGTGATACTTTTTGTAAAGCATTTTATCTGCTGGCCAATAAACATTTTTTTTTTTTTTTAGGAAGCCTATGGAAAATACATACAATGCATGATTTCGCTCATCAACAGTCTATGGGTCAATTACAGTGCTTCAGGTAAGAAGCTTTGTATTTAATACAGAATTGGTTTTGTAAGTCTGTTTTAAGTGGTCAAACTGAACACTTCACTTTTGCCTTTCCATTTCAGGGTTAAGTTAGTTATTTTATTTTATTTTTTTTTTTTTTTATTTTTTTTTTAATGGTTATATAACTTTAAGAGCCTATAAGGGCTAAACTTTATTAATGTTATAAAAAGGAACATACTGAAATTGTATATAACTATATACATCAATAAATATGAAAAACAAAAACAACAAACATAGGGAAGAAGAGCAAGGATAATAAAATCAGTCAGCATAAAAAGGTGAATTGAAACAACTTCAACAATAAACAAGAAAATAACAAAAGGAGGCTAACTAGTTGTCTGTGCTTGCTCCTCTGAGCCAACTGAGGACAAACATGTAAATTGAGAGAACAGCGTTAAAAAAAAAAGATTTGCCAGGTAATCAGCAGAGGAGAAAAATAGTTACACAGCAATTACATTATGCCCTAGCAGCCATTCCTTCTGCTTACAGAGTGAAGGCTGTCTGGACTTAATATATACTGGATATATCATATATACTTTTACAAACATTGTGGGTGGGTTCCTCACAGCAAAATGAGTTAAACTGTCCTTTTTTTTTTTTTTTTTTTTTTTTTTTTTTTTTTCAGCCATTCACCCCAAGCAAGATAGCAGTACCACTAGTGCATAGGGGATTACAGAGAGTGAAAGTGAGAGAAAAGAGTGTTTGTGGTGGGGATTGAGGAAAGGAAAAAAGGACAGGGATCAAGACAACAGAAGGCCTCATCCTTTCTTCTATCACTCCTATCTGATCTTCTGTAACTCCTTGCGTCCTAGTGGCTTCTCGTCTTGCTTTGGGTGAAACGCTTAAAAAAAAAAAAATGATGGTGATTGCCATTGCATTTAAATTTTTGAAGATTGTAGTTATATAAGCATAACTAACCTGGCTGCTGACCTTGAAAAGGACCTCCAATCTGTGTTTGACTGGGGCAGGAAATGGCTTATAAACATTAATGCCTCCAAAACGAAACTGCTCTCCTTTACCCACCACAGAGAACCCTCCCTGCCTCCCATCAGAATGACTGATTCCCAACTCCTCGAGAGCGCCTTGTTACACCTGCTTGGTCTCACGCTGTCCACTGACATGATGTGGAATAGATACATTGAATCAACAGCTTCATCTACTGCAAGGAAAGTTGGTTCTCTGTGTTGTGCCATAAAGTTTTTCTTGTCTGAGTCCATCCTTCAAATCTATAAATCAACCATCCGTCCTTGCATGGAATATTGCTCTCATATATGGACTGGTGCTTGACAAAATCCAGAGACAAATATACAATGTGATAGGTCCTGATCTGGCATCTAGTCTACAATTGCTTTCCAACAGACATGCTGTGGCTTCCCTCTGTCTCTTCTACAAGTATTTTCATAACTGTTCCAATGAGCTACTATTGCTGGTTCCCAGACTGCATGAATTTAAGTGATCTACCTGGCTGGTATCTTCATCTCATCCTTTTACTGTCAAAATGGTTAAATGTAACCGTCTCTTCTACTCAAACAGCTTCTTTTCTCTCACTTCTTGTCTGTGGCACTCCCTTTCCCTTGCTTCCCCGATGACTATAATCTTCAAATATTCAAGTGTAATGTCAATCGACATCTGACACCCTGAGCTTGTTCCCTGTCCTTCTATGTTTCATTTCCTCAAACATGCCTCTTTACTCTTGTTCTCAATCCTCTGCAACCCCTTGCATGTTAGTGGCACTCCTGACTTGCTTGGGGTGAATTGACTAAAAAAAAAAAATGTCCAAAAGGCCATTGTTGTACCTCTATATAGTAACTAATAACAAATGTTCAAAATGTCCTCCACTTGCTTCTACACATGCCTGCACCTCTCGGATTATTGACTGGCAGCCCCTTTCAAATACTCCCACACTGATCTCTGCATTATTAATGTCTGCTGCATAAACCAACGGAAGCGGTCCTCCCTGACCTATCCATCTTTCATGATAGATGTCAGCCAGTTCATTCTGAACAATGTGACTAAAATGTGCTGGAATCCCATCATGCATGGACCACATGCATCTTCATATTAGCAGGGGTACATCCTCTCACAGGTCTGGAAGTGTGTTTGAAATAAAGTCCCTGTAGACAGCTCTTGAAAGACATGTTGGGAGAACATATAGACCTACCAGACTGTGACCTACAATTCTAGCCCACACATTAATCGTAAACTTATGCTGTTGTCTAGCCTGTAATGCATCATGGAGATTCTGATCCACCCATAAATGTTGTTTGTGTAAATTTGTTATCTCTTCCAAATGTTACCTCATTCATAAACAAGTCTGAAGAGACAAACAATGGATCTGCAATTTATGCAATAAACCATCAGCAAAAGGTCATCTGTGGTGAGTGATCAGAGGGTGAAAGACCCTGCTCACATTGCAAATGATACGGATACAGGAACTGCTCTTGGAGTATCCTCCATACTATGAGATTTATGACATGCTATGGCCCCTTGACAAGTCCTAATACTTGGATCATTTTCAATAGCCTGTAGAATGTGTTCTTGATGGTCAGGCATACAAGCGGATCTTGGTCTTTCTAGTTTGTGGTGCCACAGATCTTGTCTCGGTATTGCAATGATAAACAGCATCAAAGGTTGGATGTCTGAGCAGCCTTTGATCTGAAAATGCAATCTGATACAGCCATGCAGCTTTGTGTCCATTGCTATTTGTGTGGCCATATGTAAAAATCATATTTGCATGCTCATGATATAAATATCCTGCAATTTTTAAATGGAACACTTCTCAATTAACTCACTACTACATGCATTAAACATTGAAAGCTAGCCCAAATGTACACAAGTGACAAATGTAATCTAGTCTACATGGCAACACAGCTCCATCTACCGTAAACTTTCTTTAAACTTAATAACTCAAAAACAAAGGATTTGCGGACATATGTTTATATGGACCTCTGTCCTTGTTTTAGTGTGAGGAACGTGCCCACAAAGTTTGTGAAAGTATTTTTGATACACCCTGTATATTGTCGCCAATATTCTCAAATGGTTTTTGGAGCACAATCCGCTGATTATAGTATACTCATTCATTTGTCATAACGAATGATTTAACACACATCCTGCTGATGTCAATTGATGGTTGTTTCCCAATAACAAACTATAATCTGTGAAGTGAAAATTTCAATTAAATATATTAAAATTTTCCAGGAGTACACTGATTAAACAGGCACATTCTTTTTTTTTTCTCCATATATCAACACTATAATTAAATAATCTATGCAGAGTACAAACTTTATTATTGTTAAGAAAAGGGACATATAAAAATTGTATATAAAAAAAAAAAAAAAAAAACCCAATAATACAACGCAGAGGAGGACAAAGAACAAGGAGATAATAAAATCAGTCACTGTAAAAAGGTGAATTGAAACAATAACAAGAAGAAAATAACAAAAAAAATGAGACTAACTGGTTTTCACTCCTCACTCCTTGGGGCCAATTAGGGACAAATGTATAAATTGTGTGCATTATGTTTTAAAAACCAATAGATTAAGAACAGCCAGGGAATCAACAGAGGAAAAAATGTGTTTATTTATTTATTTATTTATTGCTGTATATTGTTCAGTTGTTTTTTTGTTTTTAATTGAATTTACCCCAAGCAAGGCAGTAAAGCCACTAAGGCACAAGGGATTACTGGGTGTGAAACAATTAGAAAACAGAAAACATTATGAAGGAGCAAGAACAATAGAAGAGTAATCAGGAAGACAGTAGATAACAATTGACATTGCATTTAAATTATTAAACATCAAAGTTGAGTTTGAGGTAAATTCAGTGTATGACCAAGATATCAATCATATGTATGTACATGTGTATTCACATAGGTACGTATGAGGAGATGCTGAAAAGTTCTGGACTTGACCCAAAATGATCCAATTTTTTTTTTTTTTGGTGTCTTACTGAGAACTTTGTAAAATTTCCTGTCTATTCTTTTCTGTCTGTAAACTATTTAATATCCAAGATTTTCAAAACTTGTTTAAATAATTTTTGTTTCCTGCCCCATTTATTGTTTTGCAATTAACATCTGTCATTGGGATTTAATGAAAATCAATAAAACCAAAAAAAAAATCAATTTTCTTTCTGCTTTTTGCTGCTTAATGATTTTGCTTATGTAATCTTTTCATTTTAATGACTATATTTGGCCTTCGAATTTTTATTTATCTGTTGATAAGATCAACAATTGACTGTCATTTGCTTCTCAACATGTAAACTCCATCTTGATATGCATTTTGTCTGATTCACAATCCTCATCACTTATCCGCCAATCTCTTTTTAATGAAGTGAAATTGTTGATAAATCTAGTGAGGATGTTTATGATTGGAGGCTTACCTATCATCAAATGCAAAAGATATTTGCTGCCTGTGTACGTGAATTAGCAGCTTATGGAATCTCTTCAAAGATACACAACAACAACAGGGTGTTGAAAGGCAAAAGAAAATACGATCTGGTGAACAGCATAAATGTATAAAAGTTAACAGCTTGCAGTTCAGTGTTTAATATTTTTCATAAAAATGTTTTGATGGGTTTGTTAATATATCACTTTTGGTTTTTGTAAAATGGCTGTTTCGACATAATGAAAAAAATCATCTTTATTGATAAATGTTAAAATAAACAAACTATCTTTTAAATGTTAAAACAAATGTGTGTGTGTGTATATATATATATATATATATAAAAGTATTCATTCAGGGTGGCAATAAAATCACTATACAATTATAATAACAATTAAGACAAAGCAATTAATCAACAATCCAGAAATTTATTATTGAAATGGTTCTGTTAATAACAACAATAAAATGCTATGGTAAACAATAGAAAATTAATTGCCAATACTGTTTGAACCACAGGCCACTTTCTTCAGCGCTTAGTTTATTTTTTATTATAAGTAACTGTATACTGACTTTATTGCCACTGTGTGTGTGTGTGTGAATATATATATATATATATATATATTAGATGTTGAAATTTTCTCAACCCAATCCATTTCTCAAGATCTGACTGAATGACTAAACGCCAGAATTTGAGTGGAGAGAGCCCTTTTTTTGCAAGTGTGTGTGTTATATTCATCTGGTTTGTATCTTGTTACTGTTTATAATTAAAAAGTCATTTATTATCATAAAAAATCTCATTTTGTTATCATTAATACTCCTTGAAAATTTGTCTTCATGTTGTTTTATGAAGTTACTATAATACAAGGAAGAGATAAAATGATAAAAAAGGAAGATCTATGTGGTGAAGACAAAGGAGAAAACCAAGTCTCACCTCAAAAAAGAACTTGCGTTCTCTGTTCAAGATTGGGTCAGCCTTGAAATTGTTTGCACTTCCCTACCAGCCTGAACCAATCACAACCTTTCTGACCCCAATAAAAGAACACTACTTTGGACTGCAGTATTGCTTGGCTCTCCATGGCTGAAAGGGTAGTTGTGCATTATGATGTAGATTTTTGACTTTTTGATTTATGTCTCCAACATTTTCTGATGTTGAACTTGGAAGATTTTTGATCCTTGGAATTATGACAGTTTAGACCTGCATAATAGACGGGCCTGGGGCTGGGTAGGCTCATGTGCTTGACCTTGACGGGTCTGGGGTGGAGTAGGCTCATGTGATTGACCTTGACTTTCCTGATGCTAATTCTGAGGCCAATATTTCTCCCCCCCCCTTTGTTAGCCAGAGTGGCAGGCATCTGATAGAACTGAATATTTGTACAGAGTTATAAACTATTTCCTTTCCTTTGCCAAAAGTCATCTAAATTCTTCAGAACTTTTCTTTCTTTTCTTTTTGTCAGAATTTTTTAGATGAGTGATTAACATGATTTTACAGACTTTCACTGACTAGTGTTTTCACCTTGATTGCAATAATCATATAATGGCACTTGAGTAAATCATTGTGTAATAATGTTAATTTGTCCTTGTGAAGTGTTTAATTTCTCTGCTCTATCTATTTTTATTTTATTCAATTATGGGGTTGACTATCTGTAGCTCATCATTAATGGATTTGTTTTCCTGGCGTCCTTTTGATTTATTTCTTTTTTCCTTTTTTTGTCTTAATTCTTTATTTCCTTGTATGTATTCTCATTTATCATACAAGCCATATGGAAAAGTTTGGTTGCCGAACAAAAGAGCTTTTCTTTTTTTAATTGCCTTTCTAGTTGATGAAGAGAAAAGAAGCAACGGACATAATTCTATCACACACAAAACAAAATAACAATGCTACTCTAAAATTGTTTTAAATTGTGAAATGAAATCTTTTCATTATTACTAATATGTTGACAAGTTTATTTTTATTTGAATAAATCATTGTAAGCCACTATGATAAACAAAAGGTAAGTTTAATAATGTTTAATGATAAAAATGCTTAATTTGAAACTAAAAAACCCAAATTAACCACTTTAATGACAAATATTTTTCTTTTCCCTTTTTTCTCTCACTCTTTGTTTTTTTTTTTGTGTGTGTGTGTGTGTGTGTGTGTGTGTGTGTGTGTGTGTGAACCAATAATATGACAATGGAGGATTCTCTGCAGACTTGCATTGCTGAAAAAAAGGGGACAAAATGAACGCTAGACTTTCATTTCAAAAAGGGGAGATGTTACATAAATAATGTTGTTTGTTACTTGCCTGATAAAGTGATGAAAACATTACTGTTCTTTGGTGCTGAACAGGTTAGTAATATTGCAACTATTACTCCAGGACAGTCAACAATGTAAGTTGAGGTAAAATCAAAGAAACTAGCAGAATGGCTAGAGTTTTTATAGCCTAGTTGGTTAAAGCATTGTCCATGAAAGATTGTAATTTATGGCTGAAGATTGCATCAGCTAAAAAAGCAACAAAAAAAAATGAAGAAATTTGTCAGTTGTTTATTTTTCAATAAATGTTATATATAGACACTAATTTTATTTGAAATAATTTTTTCATTTTCATAAACATTTGGGAATTGGTGCTTAGCTTATCATTAATTTAAATGTTAAGATACAAATGATGACTCAGCAAGTATGGACACTTGCACCTGCAAAAAATAGTATGTCAAATGGACAGTTTTATCCTATGATACAACTTTTATTTTAACTACCTTCACTCCTCAACAATGTTTATTGTTTTAAAAAGCAATGTTTAGAATTGTAATAAAACCTAAACATGTAAAAGTGAATTTTTACATTTTCTTTGTTCCTGAGAACTGACAACAAAAATAAAAACATTACTTATTAGATTGTTTATTTATACTATTTATTATATTATTTATTGGAATGGTTGGAAATGCATTAACTAATTTCCAATTGATTCCATCCTTATAAAAGGATTTCCTTATAGATGGTTCACATATTTTAATAATTCAGTAAATGTTTATAAATTTATGAATAAAAAATTGTTTTCACAAATCTTTATAAATTGGCAAATGATAAATAATTCATTAGTTTTAATTGTATTAGTTTTTTTAGAATGTCATAAATATAAAATCATTCTTGTAAATAAACAATCTAATAGCATTTAATATTTTTGTAGTAAATTCTCAAGAAAAAATATAAATTCACTTTCATCATGTTTCAGTTTTATTCAAATTCTAATCATTGTTTTTTAAAACAAAAGACATTGTCAAAGAGTGAAGGTAGTTAAAATAATTTTAGAATATGTTGGTGGCGTCCTTTGGTTTCCCCCAATTTTTTATTTCAGAGTGGGTGCAGTCAGGAAAATCCATCTTTGATGATGACTCTTCCTATTTTATTATGTAAAAGAACAGGTACTGCATTTTAATCTTGAGCTGGTGAAAACACATTCTTTAATTTTGTGAAGATGCACTTATCTTTACTTTTTTCTCTAACATTTGTTTTCCTTTATTTTTCAGTCTCAAGTCATGTGTCTTAAATAAAACCAGTGAACAGAAGTTAACAAAGAGAATAGAATCTATTTTAATGTCAAATAAATTTTGTAAATGTCCAAGTGTGTTTTCTTGTTTGTTGAATTATTCCTTTCTTCTATCTTATCATTTAAAAAATTTTTTTTACTGTTTATTGTGATGTGTTTTCTCTTCAAAATGCAGGTAGCCACATTAATGATCCTAAGAAAGTGTATCCATTTGTAAAACTTGGCCAGCAATGTATGGATCGTGTTGCTAAGATTGTTGAAAAGCTGTATGGTAAGCTATCTTCCTGTCAAGTTATTTTCTCATGCGACAATGTTACTAATCAAAACTAAAAAAAAAAAAAAAAGTTCCTGTAAATAATATATTATTTAAATACAACAAATTACACAACACATATTTCAATTAATTGCATTACTTAGAACAACTACTTTGCTACTTATGAGTTGGGAGGATCAAATATAGATCAGAATCTGACAGAATTATAAGATAAAAAACAAATAGGAAATGTTTATCAATCTAATATCTTTCATTTTTATTAAAGCTTCATCAGAGAATGTCATACGGAGAGAAAAAAAGTTGATTGTAGTTGTGATCATTGAGTCAGTGCAAACAATCCTTTCCTTAGCTGCATAGTATGTACTTTGCCAGGGCTACATATAGTTTTGAATTCAGTTTTCCTTCTCCTAGACTGGTTGCCACCTAAGGCTAAAGAACCTAGTCTGTCCTGCTATTTACCCATACCTGTGTGTCATGGGGGATGGATTCATACGTTTCCCAAATGTATTAACACATATGTGAATGCAATGAACTTGACTGGAATTCAAACTCAGCTCTCTGATTCCACAATCCATTACTCCACCTTGCCTCCTCAAAAAAAAGAAGAAATTCTGCTATTTTTACTTTTGTTGCACTTGATTTTTATTTGTTAATCATGTTTCATGTGCATTTGACTTTTTAAACCAACATTAGTATAATTTGTAGTGTTCTGAATTCAAGGAGAGATGATACATTCCATGCCTACCTAAAAAACTGTAAATATTGCTTTATATATGTAAGTGTATAATAATCCAAGCTCGTCTATGTGAGAATCAAATGATAATGTATAATCATAAGTGTGTGTGGGGGTGATCTGTCTAGTAGAGATTATGTTTGGTTTTTGACATGTTAATTTGGGAATGTTTTTATATATATATCATTTGTTTTTGATAAACATGTTAAATTCTTCAAGAATGGATTCAATAAAGGTTTGTTACTTATGTAAGTGTAAAAGTAGTTGGTGATAAATGATGGAAAAGGCACTGTTGATAATTATGAATAATTTCTTTAAATAATATACTGATTATTGTTTACATCATATGGCAATAATTGTAAGTAAATTGATGCACTAAATAAGTAACTAAGTAATTGTTTTATGTTCTCTGAATACCGGTGCCTTATATGAATTAATTCTCCTCATAGATTATTTAATAAAAAATTTTTTTTCACATTTTTTGTTGTTTTCTTGGTGATTGCTCAATTTCTATCTTTTACAAGAGTCAGTTCAAATCAAAAATTTCTACCATATCTGGGCCAGAGCTAGCCAAACCTCTCTTTCCAGCCTCAACAGAGTTTGAAAGCATTTGTGCAGCCTTGTAGGTGGTGAATTATTTCCAACCCCACAGCCCCTTCCCAACTGACAAGCCATCACCAGCCTATCGCTATTTTAATGGCAAATGTTCAGAGGAGCGATACCCCTTGGTTTCACCAATTCAGACCTTTACATCTAACACCTGCCATTCTATGTACCCTTGGGTAAATCATACTCATCTTTTGTATTCCATTCGTAAGAAGGAAGTTCCATTTGGGCTGCTTCTTCCCGAGAAATACTAATTTAGACTCCCAAGAGAATGTTTCTCTGATCACTACAATTTTAATAACTTCAAGTCAATGGTCAGCTGTAATCTACATATTTTCATAATCTGTCCTTATTTCTTCATCCTATGTCTCTATGACAACGTCAATCAGTGATTGAGTGGCACTCAAACCTTGTATTGAGAGAATACTTAGCTAAAAAAAAAAACCCCAAAAAACAGGGACTTGAAATGTGCCACTGAAAAACTTGTGTACAACTTAAAGAATGTTCACCAAAATGTTGGGAAAACATTCCAAGAATGTTGGTCACAGATTTGTGTAGACTCATGCACAATTTGATTAAAGTCCATTGCCTTCCATTTGTCATTCATTATATTATTACAATAATTGATTACAAATCTTACATAATAATTGAACCCAAGTTAAAAACACAATATCTATTGGTAGACTGACTCGGTATGCTAGGTACCAATTCCATTGAGCACTACAATCCTACTACATACGAACCAGAAACATTCCAATATTACCTTGTATTTATATATAACATGTGACTATATAAATGTTAAAAAATTTTAAAAAAAGTTAAATTCATATTCTCATGTTATTTAAGACATATAACATAAATTGATTCTGAATTAAAATGATTAATTTGCATTAAAAAAAATTTTCATTAACATCACTTATTCATTTTTGTTTATTAGACAATGAATTGTGTCACTTCACGTCATCCATAGCTTACCTGACTTTTCGGCTAACCTGATGAATATTTATGAGCATTCTTAAATTTTAAAACACCAATAACATTTTTACTCTTATATATAAATACTTGTTGCAAAATAAAATACTTGCATTTGCCTTGATAAAGTCCCTCAGAGGATGAAATGCATCAGCTAAAATTAGTTTTCCTTTTGTCTTTATTCATTTATATATATATATATATATATATATATATATTTATTTATTTATTTTTTTTTCTGAGCCAAATTTTTAGCTAAAGTTTGGGGTTGGCTTCTATATGGGTGGTAGTTTCATTATATTAAATCAACACAAAATAAGAGGCTTATATCCCTATCATGTTGAAACACTGGTTTTTGTATGATCACCGAAGTCAAGCAACATTGAGCCTGGTCATTACTTCAATGTGTGCCTGCTTGGGAATACAAGGTGCTATAGGCTTGGATATTGTTATATCTCATGTTTTCAAGATAACAGAGGGAAATAAATAAGGAAGATAAACTTGTGGGTAAGTAATGAAATAGAAGGTTTACTACACAAAGGTATACTTAGCAACTGTCCTTATGCTAACTCTCCTCAACTCCACTTATTTACATAAACGTACGATTCCATTCATTTGTGCAGATGGTGTAATGGATAATGGCTTGGAATTGGAAATAGGAGAGCAAAGTTCCAATTCCAGTCTGGTTCATTATATTCACTTATATGCAAATACCCTTGGGAAAAGCATGAATCCACTTCTCCCCACTCCAGCTATGGGTTAATTACTGGGACATGTATCAGTAAATCATTGTCTCCAAAAAATTCTTACAATTTAAAAATATTTTCTGGTTTTAAACAACCTGCAAAAGGTTCAGGAACCGTAATTAACAAAATCAATCAGCCGCCCAATAGGGAAGTCTCGGAGTAACTTCCAGGCCCATTGAATATAAGAAATATTAGAAAAAAGAAATCTGTTTTGAATAGAAATATAAAACCTGTTGCATTTCACTACAGTGTAGCATGATAAACAGTATTACCTTTGGCATTTACTGCTTCAGGCTCATTAACTTTGTTTCTCAGATGTAGAGTTGATGGTTAATAAGTTTTCTGAACTGTACCTTATGTGATGCTAGATTTTTATCCATCATATGCTGATGTTTTTATTTTGGCAATAGAATTTTGCCATTTTTCATCATTCATACTGTAATTTTCAGGTTTTCCTCACTATGGGGCTTATGAAATCTGGCTCAACCCACTTGACCTTTAAGCTGAGTTGACAGATAAAAAAAACTCTGTTTTGTATATAAAAAGTTCTGAAAACAGGCTTTTATTTATATATATATATATATATATACACACACACACACACACACACACTGTCTTATTGGCAAGTTTGATCAGTTCAATGAGGGCAAATTAGTACCTGATATCAAAAGTGACCAACAATCTGTTGTTAACTAGATTATATTGAATGACTTGCTACATCTGCTGCTAGGAATGTTAGTACACTGTTAAGGGAGGATAATTTTTCTCACCAGAATCTATCTTGGATATTTATAAGTCTACTGTTTGTCCATGCATTATCTGATCTGGTGCTTCTGCTATGCATTTAGAGATTCTTGGTAAAATCCAAAGAAGAATCTGCAATGTTATCAGTCCTGACCTAACATCTTAGTTTCACTCACTTTCCCACTGCCATAATGTAGCTTCCTTTTCTGTAAATATTTTTATGGTAATTGTTCGAATAAGCTTTCCTGTTTGGTACCTAGACTTTAAGAATTTAAGTGCAGTACTAGATTGGCAGCAAGGTCTCCTCATTTTACAGTTAAAATTGCTAGATGTAACCATAAGTTCTATGTTGACAGTTTCTTCTCTCAAACTTCTCGCTTGTGAAACTCACTCCTGGCTTCTTGCTTTCCAGTTGAGTTTGAATGCAATGTCAGTTGTTATCTTCTGTATTCTTAATTTGTGTTCTTTTATTGTTCTCCCTCCTAATGTTTTATTTTTCTCATATTCTTTCACACTCAGTACCTCCCTTGCACCTTAGTGGCTTTATTGCCTTGCTCGGGGTGAAATTATTAACAAACACACACACACATATATATATATATATATATATATAATCATCCACAGATTGTTTTGATGTATCACAGCTCATCAGTGTGGCTAGGCATCCAATTGCTTCATGCTGAGATTGAAACTTGACCAATTTGACACTCAACCAACAATGCTACTGACAATCAAACATCATGTCTATATTGTTGTTATAAACATCAAATGTTTTTCAATAAAACTGGTTTGACTAACAATATTTTGAATAGGTTCAGACCAATAAATTTTTGAAACAGTCTCTTTTGTTTTCACCCTGTATATCCTAAGAATATTTCTAATTGACTTTCAATTGATTTTTTTTTCTCTTCATATTTAGTTTTGTTCTCATCATTTTGTAACTGAAGTGAGCCATTTAAATGTTAAATGTTTTGTCTTTAACACATTTTCTTGTTCATGTTTTTATGTCATGCATCTAGCCTGAATTTTTTTTTTCTTTTTTGTGCAGGTGATCCTTCTGAGAAACCATATGATAAACCAGACCCTCAAACACTTGCATTCCTTAAAGAAGAAAATCTAGCCCCAATGTCTTCCTATCTTGAAATGACCACTAGCAACGCTTTCATTAAGTAAACTCTTTTTCTGCTTTTGTATAGAAGAGAATAGCAATAAGAATCCCTTATTATCCAGGCTAATAATAATTGGATTCAATCTGTTTTCTTTCCTACCTGAAATCAAAGTATAACATATTAACCTGTTGTATTCTAGATTCCTAGTTGCAAATTTGTTTGTGTTGTCCAATTCTTTTAATCTAGACTTTAGTCATATTGAGGTCTTTTTAATCATTTTCAGTTCTTTGAATGACCCAACAGAAAAGAAAAGGTAACAAAATTTACTGGTCAGACCAATCCATTTTCAGTAATTCATATAATGCAGGTGATTCCATATTTTATGCCAGTATTTGTTTTCCATTGTATTGTCATATAACATCCAACAATACTCTAGCTTGATCACTTGAAAAAAATCCATTGGAAACTTCATTTGAAATTAAAGACGAGATGCATGTGTAGCAATGTGATTTCTCACACATACTTAGGAGATAAATAGATCGATTCTTTTTCCTCTTAATTCAATTTAATTATAAGGGTTCTTTGGAATCTTGTCACCAGTTATCTTTGAGTCAATTTAATGACTTGGATTTTTCAGGAATCCCATTTCCAGCACACCTTTGAATTAGCAACCATAAAATTTTGTTAGTGATTTTAGATAATCTTAAAAGTAGAGTCGTTTGAAAAACTCACCATCCAAAAGCTGAATGGGTGACCACCTTTTTCAGAACACAAGTGAACAAATAGGAATGGTAAGACCCCAGTCAGTATCCATATAAATGAGTGAGTAATTCAGCTGTCTCCGAGACAGTCAAACACCGAGTGTAAGGGTCCTTTTTCTGTGACTGGAAGTTAGTAAGATGACGGTTCACCTGCTCGAAGCTGAAGGAAAGACCTTCCTGATTAAGTGAGAAATCGTATTGTTCAAAACTTCCCAACCATTGTCTTGAAAAGCATTTGTCATTATTATTTGTTGAATTCGATCATGGCCAGTGAGACAAACCTGTGAACATAGAATTGTATATGCATACAGCCATCATTGGATGTCATCAGAGCTTGTGCAGTGACGTGCGGAAAGACATCACAATGTGTGCATTTTTAGTTGTCTTAGCTTGTTTAGCGTTTCATGGTTCTAGCATTAACTATGGTATTATGATAACGAGAAATAAGAGAACATGTTGTTAAACCTTGAAATATTAATGAATTCCATCACAACCTGTCTTGTATGACTAAGAACTGATTGCAATATTACGGATATATGGGATTATATCTAGCAACAAATTAAAAAATCAAAACAAGAATTTCAATACTTAAAAAAATTGGCTCTGCCAAATTATTTGATAGAAATAGATGATAAAAAAATGTCTATTATTTTATAAAAATTATATTTATTTATTCTATATTTCCTTTCCTGTCAGGATGTGCAGGTGGTGTAATGGATAGCTGAGTTCGGATTCCAGTCAAGTTCGTTACATTCACTTATGCACAAATGCCCTTGGGAAAGGTATGGATCCATCTCTTCCCCCAACTATGGATTAAATAGTAGGAATCCATTGTTGTTCTCAAAAAAAAATTAATGCAATATTCACTTGCAAAAAAAGACTTATTCTTACAATCCAAAATGTGTTTCGGCTTTAAATAACACACAAAGGGTTGATAAACCATAATATTCAATCAATACTTTTTCCTGCCTGTTTTATTTACTATTTGTGAAAAGAAAGCAAAAATATTGCTTAAGTTTTGAAATATAGCTGAAAAGGCTTAGAAATGTTCATGATCAAATACAAAACTTCCTACTGTAAATAAACAAATGGAAAGTTTTAGGGAAACAACATTGATGTGCTTACAGCAATGGCTTTTAGATGAGACTGGATAATATTTTTTAAAAGTTCAATTCTGTTGTTAGGTGGAAATGCATTTTGGGGATATGACCAAATATCATATATAATTCTTTTTTATCTTTTTCTTTTTAATATTTATGTTAATTTGAAAGTTAGGAGACATCGAGTAACAACAGCATCTAATGAAAATGATAAAAACTATACATAGATCAATTTCTGAAACATTAGTGTGTTATTATCATATTTTTGTTTCTATGTTTTCATAAAAACTTAGAAAATAATATGCTTTGTAATTCATTTCTCTTCCCTGTTCACTTTCTATACAAGTGGGGTTAAGTGGGGGGGAGAAAGAGAAAAAAAGTGACTAATAATAATTGGAGAAAGAGAAGATAATTATAATTCAGGATAATATTAAATAGGCTGACTAAGATGAGTTTTCCCCTTTTGGGCAGGAGTTTTCTTTGCTTTTGTGAAGTGAATAGGATTTTATATGGGGGTGTTGGGATTTAAGTTACCTCAAAAATCTTTCATGGAGTTTTTTCATTTTAATTTGCTTTTAATTTTGATAGTTTAATTTTATATTTAAAAAAAAAAGTCAATGACTTATGCCTCATTTCCCTCTGTAGATATGAATTTGTGGTTTCATTTCATTGTAGGCCTAAAGATAGCACTCCCTTAGAAGTGGCTCATCGGCAAAACCAACAACTGATGTTTGCTTACAAGGCAAGGTTATCACAGACCAACAGTTGCAAAAGACAGCAAGATTTGGTAAGTGATTTTCCCCTTTTCAGTTTCACTGTATTTTAGAAGGTGGATTTCAATAGGCTGTGTTATTATTGTGTGAAAACAACATGTATGCATTTATCATATATTCTCGTTGTATTTGAGCTAATCCAAGTCCTTTCACCATATATGGTGTCTTTTGTAACTTTTCAATCCTGCTTTGCTGAAGCACTCTCCCATGTTCATCATCCATCAACTCCCTCCAGCCTGGCTGTTATTTCTTTGAGCAATGGCAAGACTTGAGTATGAAGACACTGCTATATATATATATATATATATATATATATATATATATATATATATGGGGAAAGAAATATTCGTACACTATGAATTTTTTTAGTTAGCATAGTTAAATTTCATAAAATAATTTTATAATCCATAAATATTTGTATACCATGGCATAATGCTGCAATATGCAAAAAAATACCTATTTAATGAAATTAAAAAAATTTGTTATATTAATGGAATGTAAAAAAAAAAATATTTGTATAACATTATTGCCTATTGTACAATTCAATCAACAGCAATCAGTTTCTTTCTATTGCTTTTAATCAATGATTTGCAAGTTTTTGTTGGTATTTTACTCCATTCTTCTTTGCATATTCTCTTTAGGTCTAGGATGTTTTTCAGAGCTCTTTTATTGATTTGAATTTTAAATAAATGCTACAAATTCTCTATTGGATTCAAGTCTGGAGACTGTGGTGGCTATTCGAGTGTATTGACATTCTTTTCAATAAGCCATTTTTTCGTAGATTTAGCGAGCCGTATGTTTAAGGTCATTATCTTATTGCAAGTCCAAGCTTTACTACTGACCCAAACAAATTAGAGTCCAAAACATCTTTTGTATATTTTTGAATTCATTCTACCATCTATTATCTCTTAATTATCTGTACCATTAGCAGAAAATCATCCTCAAATCATGATATTGCCACCACCAAATTTCACTGTGTTCTTCAGTGCAAAGATTGTGCCATCTTTTCTCCAAACACGAGTCCTTGAATTGCACCTAAATAATTCAATTTTTGCTTCATCTGTACATAAAACATTTTCCAAAAATGATTCAGGTTTATTCTTATACCCACAAACAAATTTTAACCAGGCATCCTTATGTTTCTTTAATAGTGGAGTTTTTCTTGGAGAATACAATCTTAGTTGACTTCTATGAAGTTCATTGCTTATTGTTCACTATAACACCTAATACTTTTAATTCTTCCTGCATTTCTCTTTGAGTAGTCATTGGATTTTCTTGAATTTTGTGCTGAATTCTCATTGATCTGGGAGAGATCTTGCATGGTGCACCAGATCTCAATTTGTTCTCAACAATTTTCACCTTTTTATACTTAGCAATAATGGAATAGTAGTAAATTGTTTATTCAGGATATCTGCTATTTTTCCTATAGCTTTTGCCTTCCTTCCAATGTTTGATGATCAATTCTTTTTGCGAATAGTTCCTTGCCTTTCCCCATGATAACAATTATTGTGTATGATTTGAGTGCAGAGATAACCTTATATAAGAAATGAATTGTGGAATGTACTAGATTGTTCCAGTAATAAGATAATTAGAAGAATGTAGCAAAATCTTAAAAAGAATTATGTAAATAAAGGTAATTTAAACCTTTTGATATTAAAGACATATTTTGTATGAATATTTTTTTTGACTCTCAATGTTAAAAAAAAGTACATAATTTAATTTGTAACAAAGTTTTCTAATTGTTTTTTTTTTTTTTGCATATTGCAGCATTATGCAATGGTGTAGAAATATTGTATAGATTTTAAGTTTTTTCATAAGTTATAACTATGTTAATTAAAAAATTTCATGGTTATTTATCATGATATATATATATATATATATATATATCCGACAAAAAAAATATACGGAAAAAACAAACAAAATATTTTTATATTATATATATATATATATAAATATATATATAAAAATAAACAAAATATATGCAATTATGCTGTTTTAATGTTAATATAATGTCAAAATTTTCGGACGTAGTGGCATATTCATAGACCATCTTCAGGACATATTCATAAAACATACATTAAAACAGCATAATATGCATATTAGGATTTTTATTTATTTTTTTATATATATATTATATATATATATATATATATATATATATATTATGCATTGAATATTTTATTGAATACAAAAGACAAGGTTTTTATTTAGTTTTTATACAATCTCATGCAATCTAATAATTTTTTTTTTCAGATGATAAATTATATAAAACCTGTCCAAATGTTCTTTTTATACGAGCGCTTTCAGCTATACAATTACCCATTTTCAAGGATTAAATATTTTAAATGGCCAAGATATTGTGTCTATGTTCATAATTAATATTATTAAGTGTTGTTTTTTTGCTTCCATTATTTTTAGCCTTTTTTTGCATGTAGATGATGCTATTATATTTGTTTTATATATAAAGGAATGAATAGGAAAACATAATTCTGAAAAAAAAAACAAATTCAGTGATTACAGAAATTATGGGTTTGTTATTTGGCCTAATCTCAAGAAAGACATTCTACTCAATAGTAAAGAAATTATATTATCCTAAACTATCAGGAAATCAATTTTCTACTTTGCTTTATGACAAATGAATGACTTAGTTTGGTTTTAGATGGTTTCAAATTAACAAGCTGCAATAATAATAAATAATTACAGTAGAATATTATTAATATGCAGGTTCAGTTTTTAAAGACAAATTCTATTCATCTAAAATCTGCAAACCCATTGTTTGGAGAAGTAAAAAAAAAAAAAAAATCTCCCAAGTTTATTGGATATTATTGACATAATAGAATGCAGATGAAATCCTGAAAAATACATTTTTCTACATGACTCTTTATGGCAAAATTCTTCAATTTGATCCTCAATTCTTACAGAAATTCACTTAAGTCTGTGATTCTTTTTAAAAATACTAAAATTCATTTTTTTTTTTTTTTCTTCTCAATTTTAAACTTTCTTTTAGCAAGAATATTTTCCCTCTAAAGAGCCACAACAATTTCCTTGATTTTCTAATATCTTTCCAAATTTAAGATAAAAAGAAATATTTTCTGTGATTTTCCTAAATTTCAACTTATTTTGAGAGTTTATTTGTGGAAAAATTACCAAATATTCCAAAGAATGAATTATACATGTGCCGATAACATGTAACTCAGTATAACCTGCCACTTTGATGGGTGGCTGACATTCAATTCTGTGTTCTTAAATCACAGGCACCTATCACATTAATACAATGAAGATGAGGACATTAGTCTGAATGTAAATAATGATTATTTCTCATTCCAAAAATTCAAACAGGAATCACTTTGAAAGTTCAAAATTTATTCCCTGGCAGTGTCACAGACTATCAGGTTTTGAAATATGAAAGAACCCATCTGTGTGACCTTCCAGGATATATATATATACAGTTTGGAAATAGCCTTTTTTTTTTTTTTTTATTCTTTTCTCCATTGCTTAACTTTTTGGGACCTGGAGTGGGTTAGATTCCTAACCATTCCTACATGATCGGGTTGATTTTTTATTTTTTTTATTTTTCTTTAGCAAGTACCATTAACCTGATTCTATAATTAGTTTTAGATCTCCCCCTGCTTTCTGTCTGATAGAATGACTGGCCTATGCGCTTTCATGTGTATGAAAATTGTCATCAGAAATGTTGACTGGAAGCTGATGATTAAATAGTGTTAAATTCTTTAGCTGAAATACTTTTCAGGAGTTAAGACCTTCTATTGCTATTTAACCTGAACTAATTATATAAGAAATCATTTTTAGAAATTGATTAAAATCTTAGTAAGACTTTTCTCTCATAGTCGTCATTGCATGTAATATATATATGGAACATGTAGTATATGTATGAAACATGTAGCATATAATATATGTATAAAAACCATTTAACTGATTATTTGGAGACAGCAGTTATACTTCTTGTCTTCATAGGTATAATGTTTTGTTTTTTGTTTTTGGATCCCAAACTAAAATGTTTCTGTTAATTTTTCATAGATTTTAGCTTATAGTTGTTGAAAATTACAAAATTTTTATAAATTATCACTTGTAAAAAATCTTGTTAAAAAAAAAAAATATCTACATTGATATAAATATGTCATTAAAAATTTTTGATTGTGCCATACATTTTTTCACCTTTTATCTTTGTTGTTTTTAATATATTTTACCTGATACCTCCTTTTTTAAACACACCTGCACACATTTAAAGGAACACTCATGTCCTCATTCATAATTTAGACAGATATTAGTTGAAAATGCATCAGTGCTTCAACAAGATAATAATATGTAAAAACTTCTGAAGGCCCTTTATATAAGTGAATTGCAGCCCAAAATAAATAATGTCAATTACATGTATAGCAACAAAGTTCTTAAATGTTTGTAGCAGCAAAAATATATTATATAAAAAATACTAAATTGAAATACAATTAAATCTTTTAAAAGAAAAAAAAATATCCCAAAATGTCACATAAGTTACTTCCCTTGCAAAGAGATAAAAGATAAATTGAATTTATGGTGTTAATGCATAACCCATCCATAGATATGCAACCACTAAAGATAGTCTCGGATGAGATTGAAAATACTTGGGGAAAATAGAATAAAATTATTTGAAAGAAAATTTTGGAATTTTTCTTGATCAATTTTCTACAGTCACCAAGAAATTAATTCATGGACTTGAAAGGATTAAGATTAAAATAAATAGGCATAATACATCTAAATTATTTAACCAGACATGAATTGAATGAAAATATGCCTCCAATATATATATATATATATATATATATATATAATATATATATATATATATATATAAATATTATATATAAAATACTATTACTATAAACATTATATTTAATGTAATTCCACCTTTACTAAAATGAGCGTTTTTAATGAAAATAAACAAATAATAAAAATAATGAAAATATTTGAAATTTTTTCAAAAAAACCTTGTTTTTTTGTGCATCAGAAATTTGTTTAAAAGATTACTATGGGAAATTAGTATCTTTTTTGCAGTAAAAAAATACATTGTTTTGGAAATTCTGGCAAAAATCAAATAATAATGAAATTTTCAGTACTTATTGACAAATAAATGAAATCATTTTTTAAATATATTTTTTAGAAAATCTTGCTGAAAAAATTTCTTCTTTTTTTACATCTGTTACATAACTTAATTTTATGAAATTCAAGAAATTAAAATTTAAGAAACTTCATATTTTTAGTTAAGAACAGGACGCCTTTGAGAATTTAAACCGTAAATTTGTTTTTATCAAACAGAAACACCATTTACCAAAAATCTACTCTGAATCATATGGTGTTATACAATAAAACTATTACATTATTTAATTAGAAAAGCTTTTAATTTGCTTTTATAAATAAGATATATTAACAACACTGTTATCTTAAGAAAAAAGTTTGCATTTTTTTTTTTAATTAGAAAAATTTATTAAGTTTTAAATCTTTTAAAATTCTGTATTAATTTCAGCTTTTTAGATGATATTATTAAGTGAAAACTATATGTACTAATTGTAAATGGAAAAGATTAATACCAATCATCAAACACTAATATTTTTAAAAGAATTTTGAACTTTTTTTTCTGCATAAACATGCCCATTTTTGTAAGTACAGGCAACCATACATGACATTATCAGAAAATAAGAGCGATAACTATCATAAATTTAAAGTCAACATTTAAAAAATTTAATAAAACATTAGATTACAGAGAATATTTTTCTAAATTTTTAAGATTACTGAGTACTTAAAGATTATATGAAAGAGATACTCACATCATAGACTATTATGTTTTACAAATAGTCTTTGTAGAACATTAAATCTGTAATCACCTCTAAAACAGGTAAACACAGCTACTGACGAGTTAAAAAAAATGCTTTCTGTGATATTGTAAAGTTAAAGTGAATAATATTTGTTTCAACTCAGATTAATTGTATTTTAAATCATCTAATATTCCTCAAATATATCAGGTCATCCCATAAGTTCTGTCTGGATTTTGAATAATAAAGAAGCAGTGATCAAATCTTACATTTTATTGAAATTTATTCATCAGTGTAGTTTCCATGATTATCTATGACTTCCTTCCATCTGCTTACAAGATTTTTAATCCCACTAATAAAGAACTCTTGGTTTCGAAGTCAAGAATTCTGAAATGTCAGTTTCAAAGTCAGGAGAATAAGGTGGATGAGGAATTCTTTTTCAACCAAATTCTTCAATCTTCTGGGATGTGGTTTTTGCAGTGTGTGGTTGTGCAATGTCCTAATGAAACACCCACTCTTTTTTGATTCACTAAAATAGGTCATTTTTTTTTTTTTTTTTTTTTTTCCTTCAAAGCTGCATTCAAACACTCTAATTTCTGACACTAGACTTGAACATTGATTGTTGCATTTGTTGGTAGCAACTCAAAGTAAATTATTCCTTTGCAATCCCACCAAATTGTGAGAAGAACCTTCTGCACATGAAGTTCCCTTCTCAGTTGTGTTTGGGCCTCTTACCAAACCACTGTCTATGACATTTAACATTTTGATTAAAAAAATCCGTTTTTCATCACAAGTCTATCCAAAAAGGGTGAGATGAGTTCATGAGAATGAAGAGCAGATGTCAGCTTGGGATTTGCGGTTGACTTCAGATTATATGAGGCACCCATTTTCCAAGTTTAGGAACTTTTCCAAGTTGGTGAAGATGACGATGAACAGTTGTATGGTTTGAATGAAGCTTCATTGCCAATTCTTCAACTGATACTGCAGGATTTTCCTTCAGGTGATGCCACAAGGAGCACATCAAACACAACTGGATGCCCTGTTCAGTTTTCATCTTCAAGGCTGAAATTTCCACTTCCATATTTGGCGACCCATCTTCTGCAAGTTCTTTTATTCGGGCATTCTTCTCCATAAGCTGAGTGAATATTTTGAGTTGCTTCGGCTGCAGAGTTCCCTTTTTTAAACTCATAAAGCATTATGTGCCTTAAATGCCTCTTCGACACATCCATCTTTGAGGGACTCATTTGAGTAAATAATTCAGTCAAATTATTCTATAAAAAGAAATTAAGTTAAAGGTTTCTAAATTCATATGATTATCAATCAGTATTATTTGACATTTTAGAATACTGTAAAATTTGATTGAAATTACATATATAATATTTCAGGCAGAACTTATGGCATGACCTGATAGTTTCAGAAAAGTATATTTTATTTTTTCAAAATTTTCAAAACTGAGAACTAACTTGTGTTTACAAATATCTAAAAAAAACTGATGACTTTGTTGATGTTATTAAAAAATAAATGTAAATCTATTTCGATCAATATAATTTCTGTTTGAAATACTCCAGAATATTTTGATTACTGGAAATAGTAAATTTAATCCTTTAGCTTTCAATTAAAGGTAAAATGAAAGCTTCAAGAAAGCTTTTTTTCATTTTTAAAAACTAATTTAAACCTAGGGGTATCACAATTTTTGTGGCGGTACCAAATTTAGTGGCTACAAATGCTTGAGTAAGCATCACGTTTTTTTTTAAACAATGTTTGACATCAGTTAGTCTGGGTTTTTCAAGACTCTTTAATAAAGTGTGCTCTTCAGGCTTTGAACCTGTGTCTTTTTTTATATAATGGAAACCACCATATAGCTTGATGTGCTTTTAGGCTGCTCAAAAACAAAGTACTTATACAGCAAAGCAAAGTGTCAGTTAATGTTATGAAGGAAAGCCCCTTTCTCTTTAAGGTCTTTCAAAGCTCATATCTGTTAACATTATCTTCATATCTAAAATATAAACAAAGTAAATTTTTTAAAGAATTAATTTTTTGTTTAACCCAATGTTATATATATATATATATATATATATATATATAATATAGTAGGTACAAGTCTAAGATGTATGTTATGCCTGGTGATATTTTGAATTGCTTTGTACTTTTTAAAAATATTTTATCAGGGCTTTGTAAAATTGTTTTGTTTTTGCTGTAGAGAGGAAGAATAAAAGTAAAATGTACTCATTAGCCTTTAAAGTTCACCAGGTGTAATAATCACTTAAGAGTGACTGAAAAACATGTTTGGTTGAAATGTAGTGCTAAAAAGAATAAAGATTCTGACAAATGTGATATTATTTGTAAAATAATTTTTTGCTAAATTTATCTTTTCAGAGTCTGACACTCCAAAGGAAAATGGCTGAAAACATTGCCATTGCAAAAGCCAGAGAAGAAGCTGTATCCTCAGTTATTAGAATTTATTTTTAATAAAATCTTTCAAAAATATTTCCGAATAAATGTCATGGAAGAAGACGGTATACAGGAAGATATTTCAAAGTGTGGAAACTGATAGAAATGCATAACAAATCTTAAATGCTAGTAGATTTCATCTTTCAAGACAGTTATTGTTAGTAGATTTTGTATATTTAGAATTAAAACATATTGATATACTGTAAATTAAAAATAGTAACACAAATTCATTATTCTATTAACACTACAACACACAACATTTGTTTACAACATTGATACAAATGGCAGAATAGTGATACTGTGTTTTACAATAACATATACATAGCATTACTATCAAAAAACTACCTGGTATTAATATTTTATAGGAATTCATATTGACTTTAATGTGTTTATCAGTAGACCTGATAAATTTTAAATGTTGGTTAAGATGTGTGATACATGCTTTGGTGATCATGTATCTTTCGATATATGACTGACGAGGCAGATTTTTTACTGTAGTAGGTTGCCATTTCTTTCTGCAGTAGACCAGTTGCCATCCAAGGCTATAGAACTCAGTCTATCCTGTTATTTACCCATAGCTGGGGGGAGAAGATGAGGATTCATACCTTTCCCAAGGGTATTAGCATGTAAGTGAATGTAATGGATTTGACTGGAATTTGAACTCAGCTCTCCGATTCTTCAATCTGAGCCACTATTGATTGCGCCACTGTGCCTCCTTTTTCTAGGTTATACTAACAAAATATACCTACCAGTGTTCGTTGTAAGTTGTTTGATATGCAATGCATATAGGAAGATCTTGTAGTTAGTGCCTCAATATGTAGGTAAGAGGCTTGACAATATAGATTTGAAAAAATTTATCATATACTGTAGCCATAACTTCATTTACCAGTAGGCCTAAGTTTTGAGCAACTGGTAGCCTACCATATGTTTGAGGGTCAACCTATATTGTAGGTATAGGTCTAACTTGGAATTTTGAGTTAAACATCTTTAGACTAGCTTGTACACTACAATTTACAGTACTTATGTAAATTATTACATTGTCCTTTTGATTGGTTTAACTTAGTCAAATTATAACATTTCAAATTTTAAATAATAGAATGTAGTAAGGAGGCTGAACATCTTTACAGATTGATTGTGACATTAGTTGGACAATAAAGACAATATGAGGATGGGGAAGATAAATAATAATTAGATTTTTTTTTTTCATTTTCCTTTTACATTTTTTTTAGTATGTCCTTTTTTAATGCAATAAAAAGTACTAATATATTCTCAACTAATTCCAGTAAAAAAATAAAACTAATTATATATTGTTCTAAATTTAACACATCCAACTTAATCATATGCAATAACTATTCTCCATCAACTAGTGTTTTATATACTTACTTTATATACTTGTGTATCATGCGAATTTTGACAACCTAATTTTGAAACTAATTTGACTACAGTAAATAGATATATAGGTTGGTCAACAGCGTAGCTATGGCCAGCAGTACATACAATAAATTTACGTCTTGTGCATGATGGGATCCCCCCCTTAAAATTAGCTTCAAAATTAGGTCTTCAAAAGTCACTTGATATGTAATGTATGTATGTATGTATGTATGTATAATAAAAACAAAGAAGTCTGCAACAACAACAACAACAACAGTGTATGACATAAAATATAAAAAATATACAGAGTCAATATAATAAATATAAGAAAAAACACTGCTCATATGTTACTTCCATTTTGCACTTAAAGTTTCATATGGACATGTAGATAATTATGAGGCTGCCTTGCAATGTTCAGGTGGTACAATCAATTCCTTATTAATACCACATGAAGATTGTGAGACAGCTGCATAACTAGCTAGACGTCCACATGAAACTAAATTGTAAAATGTAATATATGAGTATTGTTTATTTTTCTTTTATTTATTACATATATCATTTTAAGGTATGCTATATTTATGGGTTAAGGTGCTCAATATTGGGGATAGAGCATATGTAAATATAAAAATGGACATTGAGGTCAACACCCGGCGGCAGTAATGGTCTGTTTCATGCTTAAACACAATCTTCAGGACATCAGAAGATGAAACAGACTGACGCCACTTGGTGTTGTCCTCAATGTCCCCTTTTATATATATATATATATATATATATATATATATATGGAACAGAACTGTTTTATTTAAATTTATATATTATATTTTATATATAAAATATATATATATATATATGGAACATAAAGTGGTCTGTTTTTTTAAATTTATATATTATATTTTATATATATATATGGAACCATAAAGTGGTCTGTTTTTATTTAAATTTTTATATATATATATATATATATATACACATTTGTATAGGTTGAATAGTTTCTTGCAACAAGGATTTGTGTTTCTTCTTCAACATTTGCATTGTTTGCACCTTTATTGACTCCTCAGTTAGCCAAAAAGATGAAAGAACGCCAACAACTCTTGGAGCAACAAGCAGCACGGTAAGAAGATTTCCTTTTTTCCTCTCCCTGATTCACAAACCCTATTTGTTTTTTTTCGTGGGGGAGACTTGGTTCTTATGTGATTAAATTTTTCTCTATGTATGCACTTCACTTTGAATATCTGATGCAATTAAACAGAAAACTTTTGAAATGCTTTTGAATCACATATTAAATGAAAGTAACTCTGAAAATCCTTCTTGATATTTGAATAATAAACAAGTGTGTCAATGTTCTGATCGACAACCAATCGTAGAGACATGAAGATATTTGCAAAACTCTTCCTTACTGATTATTTATAAACATATGCCCACTTGCCCTGATGGTTAAAAAGCTTGTGCCTCAGATCCTAACTGATGGCTCCAGCTATAATCATCTAGTTCCAGACTATACGAAATTTATATATGTTCAGTGTCCACTATTAAAATAGAAATTTCCAACCCATATCTGTTAAAAAACCAGTATTTTGAATGCTGATTTTCAAAGTACATAAATATTCCTCATTTGAAAGATCGGTGCAACACAATCTTCCTACTCTCTCATTGTCTTACTGATATATGATATTGAAACTCTGGTTCTTGTACATTTACCAAAGTTAAACAATGTTGTACCTGGTCAGTACCTTGATGGGGGACGGCTTGGGAATACCAGATGCTGTAAAAAAAAAAAAAAAATAAGGTCAAAAGTAAAATATTTGTCTTTTATTTTTACTTAAAACAAACATTTCCCTCCAGGAAAAAAAAATTGTGAATCCCCCCCCCCCACCTGCCAAACACTGCTTCCAAAAAAGAAAAAAACTGTCTCTTATAAAACTATAAATCATATATTGATATCTCAGAAGTGCTGATTTGTTAATTGCCATTTTGTTTTTTCTTCCTCCCTCTCTAACCAAAAATGTGATTGTATCATATATAAGTTTGTTTCAATTCTATTTTCTTTCTAAATCACATAAATTTTATTTTATTTTTTTTTTTTTTTATGGCAACTTTCATCCGACATAATAAACATGGCTCAATTCTAAAGTGTGTGTGTGTGTGTGTATATATATATATATATATGACAATATTCCTACATAACGTCCTCTACTAGTTGAAATGTCTTGTAACCTAGGGAAGGTTACTGAATAGAATAATCAGATGAAGGTTGGTAATTGTTGTGGCCTTGTTAGGGCCAGAAATAAAGACACAAGGAAGGAATTGAGTTAAACAAATATATAAACAGAAAGAGTAATGCAAAACAAACAAACGAGAATGTTACAGTAAGAATGTTCGGTCCAACTGTCAGAGCTGACTGCTAGAAACTTCCCCAAAAGGCAGTATCTGCTCCTATTTATAGCTGGGAGAGTCCATGAGTGTATGTGTAAATTACCATAACAGTAATGAACGATAATACTCAAGACAAGAACAACACATATAAGATTCGCCAGCAGCACGTAGAAGTAGTAGTCAACTGTTAGAAGTGAGTCAAGTGAATTCCACAATGAATCTCCAACTTTAGACCACATACAGTATTCAATACTGTATTTATGGGAATACCCGTTATTGTCTGTCTGTAGGCATGCTACAACAAAATGAAAATAAATGTGTGACACCCTAGTGTCAAAAACCCCAGTCAAAGCAGCAAAAAATAGATTATCTGTAATTTAGCCCTTTACAGTTAGTTTCAGATTCAAGGATGGTTGGAATGACTTGGAAAGTTATTACTGTGGACCCTGGTCACTCCAGGGGATTGTATTCCTGGTTAGAAGTTCTGTCCATCCCCTATAGATCCTGAAGAATTATTCTGGTGAAGAGTTGAAATATCAGTGCTCTGAAGCTGCATCACATAATTGGGATTGATTCTCTGGGTTGTAGGACGATGACAAAAAACTGATGGAATGCAAAGACCAAATTATATTTTGCAAAAGACAGCAAATGCCAATTTAATGTGTCTTTTCAACAAATTATGAATGTAAATGTATTTTTCTTTCTTTTTTTGTTAGGTTTGGTCAAGGCAGTTGGATTTAGTTTTACTTTTGTGTACCATAGGAAAGAATCCATCTATGTATTCATTTTAGTCTGGTCATGTGATTGAAGACACTAACAATACATTTCATTCCTGTTAACCCAGGATGCCAAGTGAGGTCTTTCTCCTCACCAATGGCTTTGCAGCTCAAAATGACTGCACTTTTTATAGACATTCCCTCACCAAAATGATGGGTCACTGAAATAAAATAATTAATTTCATTTTCATAAGGATCTCTCTGTTCACAAATGCAACTCAAATGCACTTGGCCCCAGCCCAATTTCTTTGAAAATCTTTTTCTCAAGGAAAGGAGTTTCTGAAAATCAATCCAAATTCAACTTCAGCAGGGAACTTTCTTTTCTCTGAAATTGATCACCTGTCATGGAAAAGTAGGTAGTGGATAGGAACAAGGGGTTGAACAGTCATACTTTATTTTGCTCTATTTCCTTGAGTTAAATTTGGGTTTAATCTTGTGAGAATCTGAAAATGAAATTCATTAATCAAATCTAATTAACATTTTTAATTATTTTTTTCTCTCCATTGCACTTCATTACATGAGAAGAGATGTAAAAACCCATTGTTCACTCTTCTTCTTGGCTCTATACCACCAAATCAGGCCTAAAGATAATTAACTGCTAACAACTCAACTGTCAAGCCTCCTTGGAGATATAACTCATCCAACATGTACAGCTTTATTTATTCATCTTTTTACAAGCTTTTTTTTTTTTTTTTTCTTAGATGACTAGATTGTGGGAGGTAGATTGGTGCAACATAATCGGATGAATGCTGCGGATATACCATAAAAATTTGTACTCAGAATCAAAGCTTTTCCTACTCTTGAACACAAACCGTTTCCACCAGTAAGAAATATAGTAATAACTAGTTACTCATTTCTGAGTATGCTCATCTACTCAGGTGGCTAGCTAATCCCTGTTTCAGACACCAGCTCTGGCATACTTGTTTCTTCAGCACCCGCATAGCCAAACTGTTATTTATACTGCAACTATGTTGAGCAGACCTTAGTTACAGTTTCTAGGAAAGTGTTCATAATCTAGCATGTCCAGTGGTCGAACAAGATCAGTATGTTCAAAAGCCCTCGGTCATGATGACTTGTGACTTTGTTCTAGCACAACAATTGACAGCTTCCAAACAGGTCATCTACCCAATTTCATTTACAAGGTTTGGGTTAACCTGTAAGGTTTTTTTCAAGTACTTTTCATATGTGCCACAAAGTAGGATCATCTCCCCAGGCTAAGATTATCAAGAATGAATTTCCTTGACAAATTGACCCTAGTAAGATTTGAACCTGGAACTTGTATTTTAGCCACACAGTCATATGCCTGCAATGAGAAATATACAAGTGACCTAATCACCCCAATAGACATTGTGTAGTAGTAAATAATAATAATAATTCTCCTCCTGGAGATCATCATTTTGTAAATAGACACTGAGGAAATGACATCAGTTATTATTAGGATAAATGTAAATCTTCTCAACTCTGTATTAGTCACCAAGATTGTTTTGAAATGATTATAACAGTTTATAAAGAAACATAACAGAATCTGGTTAATTTTGTTCAAAGTTCATCATTGAATTTTTACATGACTGTGCAGTTAGTGCTTTCAATCTGCTCCTAGTTCCAGGCTCACTTCTACAGACAGCTCTTCTAAAGAACAGACTTTACAATTGAAGTAATGATTGAATCTCGTAGAAATGAAGTTTCTCTCTTCATTACAATGTTTTTGTTTCTTTTCAATATTTAGTGGAACAAGTCTTATTTGTAGAAAAAATGTAAATTCTGATTAGGCTGTATGTTTCTGTTTCAATCAACTATATAAGGGCTGTTTTTATTTTCTCTTCCATCCCACAGGCGTTTTTCTCTTAGTATGGACCTTTCTAAAGAAGATCAACAACAACGGCTAATTTATAAGAAAATCTTGGAGTATGAACTGGATGTGGTAAGAGGATTTTATGTACATAACAGTAAATATCTGCAGGGCAGTAAATCTATCTATCTCTCTACATACAGGTAGTAATCTGTTGGTATAATCCAGGCGAGTCCTATTAAGACAACGTCGAATTTAAAATATGTTAAAACTGACTTACAAAAGAGCGCTCAATCTTTCTTTTCTTTAAACAGAGCAAATTTTCTTTACAATTGGAATTAAGATACCTTTAATTAATGACCATTTTCACCTACAAATTTTAATTTTACGCAGGATTTTTCAAACTGTTTATGGTATCAGTTTGTAGTGTGATACAGGTTAGTTGTGGAGAGAGAGAGATAGGGGGCGTTAGAGGGGACATAGTTGAATATATGACAGAAGAAGCCACCATTACAGGAATTTATATATATATATATATATACATACACACAAGTGTGTCTTCATATATGTACACACACACACATTAAAAAAATCAGTACTTCAATGACCAAACAGAATGACAATTTAGGGAAGTGTGTCAAGTTTAAAACTTTTTCAAACCACTTTCATATATAACATGCACACACACACATAATTGTGTATTTGGACAGCAATCCCTCTTTTATACAAGTTTCATTAAAAATGACTAGCCATTACCAAGGATGATTTTATTTTTACTTTTAACTAAATGTATGGATTGTTTTATGTATTTAGAGTTATAAGAATATGTTATTTTCTAAACATGTTCAGCACATTTTCGCCATGTTCATAGTTGATATTATTGAGTGTTGGTTTTTCTTTTTTCTTAACCTTTATTACTCTGTATGTGACTTTATTTGCTCTACAAAATGTTTATCCTGTCACTGAAGGTGACTGACACCTGGACCATAGTGTGCTTGAATTTCATAGTTGTGTTGTCATACTCTGCTATGGCAACAGAAAACAACTTTGAGTAAAATTAACAATAAGATTACTGCAATTGAGAGGCCTTGAAAAAGAATGTAGTGAAAAGGGAAGTAATATTAATAATGCTTACATTATTTTTAGCCTTTTTTTTTGGAGGGGGGGATAAGGTTATTTTATTTTTTTATTATCAATGAGTATGTTGCAAATAGAGTTTAGTTTGGCAGGTGCCCATCTGTATTTAAATGAGACTTAATTGAGCTATGGTCAGAGAAAATAAAATAAAAATCATCCTCGATAATGACTAAAAGTGTAGCCAAAAGCGCCCAGACATACAGAACATTCAAACAATTTCTAGAAAATTTATGTCAAGAAAAGTAGAAAATTACAAGAAAAATTAAATAAAAAAACTTAACTGCAGTACATTGTCAGTCATTTTTAATGAAACACACACACACATATATATATATATATATATATATATATCACTTTAAACATTATTTTTAGTGGATTCTCGTATTTATCATATGTGAGACTCTTGCATTAAGTAAGTTTGCCCACCCCTGTTATAAATAGTTTGTTTTATAAAGGTTGATTGACCTGTGACCCTGAGTAATTATTTTTATGACATGCCTAATATATGAAGAGTCAGCACTGTAACTTTAGTCCTGAATTATCTCCACTGAATTGGATGTGAACTTTTTCCTCTTAATATTTAATGCATCATGTCAATAAGTGTTTATTATTATTTTCACTTGAAGTGAAATACATCAAAGGTATACGGAAACTGTACATTTGTTGGTTTTGTTATCATATGTTTAACTATTCAGACCAGCGTTCTCATCTTGGTGGTTAGATTCAACATTTCAGCCATTCTACTCTCCAGTTTTTTGTCTTTATACTCAATAACCTCCTTGGAATTTTGAACCAAAAACTCTTTATTCAATCTACGAGGGTAGATTGTTCTCATTCTGCTTCCCATGCTAAGGGGGAAATAACTCCTATTAATACTTACCAGTCTTATTCACCTTTGCTGTTTATTCATTTTTTTTGACACTGAAACACACTTTGTTTCTTCTATAACACTCTACTATTGTTGGTCGGACTTTGGTCAAATGCTGTCATTGGGTTGGTCACTCTGGTCTAAACCATTCTTCTGCTCATGTTGTGATATTTGATCACAGAGCTGGTAAAGATCAAATTGTCGTCAGCAATTGTGATGTTAGTCCATTCCTGGCAAAGCTATGTCACAAAGGAATTTAACAAAAAAAAAAAAATGTCCTTGAAGTTAAAGAAAAGATGAGTTCTTCAGGGTCTAGTTCTATGAAAATTTATATACTGTTTTTATACAATGAATTGGTTCTGGGTACAAAACATTAACCCTTCCTACTTAGCATTTTATTGTGACACTGTGCTTGACTAGCTAAGTCTGGAACAAGACTTGAGACAGAGGTTCTCTCTCTGGCAATAAGTCACCTGGCATTCAGCAGAGTGATCATCTCTCATCTGTATTCTGCTTATATTGACTTCCATATGATACTTGTATGGGGTTGACGTATATTGTAGCATACCTACAGACAATAATGGGTATGTCACATAAATACAGTAGTAAATACTGTATGTTGGTCTAGAGTTGGAAATTTATTGCGGAATTCACTTGACTCACTTCTAGCAGTTGACTACTACTTCTATGCACCACTGGTGAATCTTACAGGTGTTGTTCTTGTTCTAAGTATTATCGTTCCTTACCAACCTTCGTTTGATTATTCTATTCAGTAACATTCCCTAGGTTACAACAACGTGGATATGAGGACTTGGTGGTTTCCCTCTCCCCAACAATTGTCTCTTTGTTGTCTGGCTCTGAATAATTAATTATACTTCTAAATATGGAAAGACTCCTTTTCTGATGGGTAATGGCCACAGGATATCAATCCGCCCAACTCCTTCCTTCTCTTATTTGTGCCTTACACTAACACTTCCCAATGAGCATAGGCATTTCTTTCATTTTTCTTGGCATTTCACCCATGCCTGTCACCTTGGTTGTCCTTCGACCAATCTGGCTCTCAGTCGTGTGGTCATTAATTAAAGTTATCATCTTAAATTTCGTGTCAGTGAAATTTCTCAACCTGGCTCAGCTCAAAAATCAGAAATTGACCAGTCGCCTCCTCAATCCTGCCAAGGTCATTGTATGTTAAGTATGCTGGGTCCTGGGTCTTTACACAATGGAAACTCTATTCCTTGGATTTGGTTATAGACCAAATTTTAGGTATTCTGCTTATATTGTGTTTTTGTTATTGGTGCTTTTTTGAGCTGCCTCATCAGCTGTCAGCCAAATATCGCCATATGGCTTTTGTGGTAATGTCTTGTAAGAGAATCACTTTTCTTCAAAGTATCTCTGCCCTAAAAAGAAACAAACTTTGGAACTAAAAAGAAATCCCTTTTCCTTCTCTCAGTATATCCATCATTCTATTCTTTAACCCTTCTCATTTCATTCCGAACTATGTTTTTAATGTTACTCCTTTCTTTCCGTCTGCCAGTGTCACATAGTGTCACACTTCAGCACTACCAGACCCAGAGAACCCAATATGTATTAAGTGATGCTTTAATACACTAAGCTATGTTCCTCTTGTGGCAATCTCATCTTTAAATTCTGCAGTTCTAAACCTAGTCTCAGACACAGGTGTTGGATGGAATTTCGTTTGTATGTTCTTTCTTTCTTGATTAGAGGCTCCAGATAGTACTCCTCTCTATTCTAAGTCTACTTAAGACATTTTCAGTGCCTATGAGCTGTACAGATTCTATCTTTTGTCTTATCCTCCACTGTATTCTATTAATTATCTTTATTCCACATTTATTGATGACCAGAAGAATCAAGTTGCAATGGTCTGCCTACCATACAGGAGTGATAGATTTAGAGGATCTACTGGCTATACATCATCAGAACGGTATGCAAATGCCATTCAACCCTTTGGAAATGTCTCTCCCTTGGAAGAAAACCTAACCTAGTACCAAGTATTCCCAAATAAAGTTGTTATCCAGAGAGACACATTTAAATCATGCATGGCTGATCATATATTGAAGGAAAAGGGTGGTCATCAACTCTTGTGGAATGAAATGGAGAACTAAATTAAAAACAGCTGAAAGAATCAGTGTGCCTGTTAGGCACTGAAAACCTCCTCAGTAGACCTAGCATAGAGATCAAATAAGAGTCTCTAATCAAGAAAGAATAGTAAAAAAAAATTCCACCACTTTAGTATAGATATTAGGTTTAAGGGTTCAGAATTTGAATACTAGATTGTCCAAGAGACACATGGCCTAGTGTATTCAAGTCTTGGTTGATAATTCCTCAAATGTTCAATCCCTGAGCCTGGTAGTGCTCAAGAGTCACATATCCTGATCCAGTGGCAAAAAATACAAACAAGCAACATAAAGATGAATCATATGGTGAGCACTGATATGAAATAGCTTCTTTTTTTTTCTTTTAGTCAAATAACTCATAATCCATTTGCTATTGTTAGTACTAAATTTCCATTCATTATAGCATGTAACCTTAAACAGTCTTTAGGCAACTTCAGTCACCAAAGAAAGCATTTGTCTTGCTATTGAAGTTGACACCAATTGCCAAATAACAGTATATTTAAATTACATGATTGTGTTGTCACATCCTGCCATAGCAACAGTAAAAACCGCCTAGACTTAAATCAAGATCAAGGCTACTGAAGTCTGTATTTGAAGAGCCACCATATATAGTGGAAGAAGAATGAATATTGTATAATGCAAAAGGTTAAATTAAATTTGGTCAACATTTTGTTAGAGCGTCCTGGGTAAGATGATAAACTAGATCCGTGTCCTGGGTAAGACAATAAACTACATCCAACAGGAAGGCTTCTGATCAGGAGGTTTTGATGAGCATGGAACTGCTTCTTAATTGTTGGTGTTCCCAGGGAGGTAGCACCTGTTAGTGTCCCAGCTATGGGCAAATAGTTAACCCCCAAACTGGGGTCAAAGCACTATGAAAGTGTAAAAATAGGTCTTAATACCAGAAATACTTTGTAAAAAAATTATTACCAGCAATAAATTTTTGAAGAAAAAAATTATTACCAGCAATACATTATTGAAAAAAAAATATTACCAGCAATAAAAATTTTGTCAGCATTAAATAACCCATTGAGGTTGATATGCCATAAACCAAACATTTTGTTAAAACTACCAGCTTCTTGCTTCCTAGTCAACTTTGATCTCAATAAAAGAACAGGAATTAAAAAGACAGAAGATATTGCATTTAACTTTTTGAAATGCAATATCTTCTGTCTTTTTAATTCCTGTTCTTTTATTGTTCTCTCTTCTTAATAGTGTTTTCTTTTCCTCATATTCTCTCATACTCAGCAACCCCTTGTGTCTTAGTGACTTTATTGCCTTGCTTGCAATGGAGTGAAATGATTAAAAAAATGATTGATGAATACCTACATCTAACTTTATCTTTTGTCCTTTTCCTTTTCAGTGAAATCTTACCAAATTCTGGAACCATGTTCTCTATGACAATTTAATTCCTCATCCATGTCCTTCATGTTTTTGTTACCACAGCATTTTAGCTGATGCGTTCTTTGGTTTTCATCAGAAAAGAAAGAAAAATCTTCTTTAGAAGATAGAGAAACAGAAAAAAAAGAGTCTTTTAAATTGGGTGAACAACATTCACAATGTTAAACAAAGTTCTACAGAAAAATACTGAGAATTCCATGTATGGAACAAATAAGCAACAAGAAACTCTGAAAGAAAATAGCAACAAGGGAACACTTATGCTTTTGGAATAAGACACATAATGAGGAAGGATAGCCTGGAAAACTTAATCCTCACATATTGAGGCCAAGAAAGATAAGCAAAGGCAGTGAACGACTGATGAGCTTGTGTGAATTGATAGTGGAACTGAGGACAGGGGGCTTTAGCAAAGGAATTAAAAACGGTTAAGGGCCACAAGGGATAGGAGGTTGGAGAGTGATGTGGTCACCCCTGTCTTGAAGGGACACAGCACATAAATGATGATTCTATAAATACTCCTGACAGGTTATTAAAACTGAAATATCAAAGTAAAAGAACAATTCATTTTTAATATTGTATGATTGAAAATTTTTCTGTCTCAGTTGAAGAGTCACTGATGGAATTATGAATATTTTTCTTCTGCTTGTAGAAATGGCTTCAAGAATCAAGACAGAAATTGTCGGCAGATCCTAAAAACCCAGCTGTGATGAAAGAAGTTATACAGAACACGTTTCGGTAAGCTGTCAGTTCTTATTTGGTAAGGGACTTCTGTATTTCGTTGACTGTCCTCATGGTGGCAAAGATTAAGAAAGAGACTCCACATCAGTTGCCAGTTCATTAGTGATTGGATAAGACCTGACTGAAGGTTTGTCTGAAATAGAAAGAAGACTTGAATCTAATTTCTCTTCTCCATTTTCAGTCTGTGATTGAATTTTATAAGAGTAACTTCCACTTTCCAACTGCCATATTCAATACAAGAGATGAGGATCCATTTTTAGAGAATTATTGGATCTCTTTTCGTGGTGATTTTTTTTTTTTTTTTGTAGTATTGACTGGAAGACCATCTCACCAAATGGTAGGGTCTTTTGGAAATGATGGTCTTTGAACTTTGATCTGCAACTGTATTTTTGCAGCAGTGTTGAAGACATTGGCATTCTTGAAGACTTTGGTATTTGTAATAAAGACGTACAATTAGAGTTTGAAAAGGTATAATTTGGTACCATAGAAGGGATGGCAGTATTTTCTTGTGTATAATATGACTTCGTGTTTCTGAAGCTAAAAACTGGGAATAAATTATGTCCTTGAGTATAATACAACTTCTTGATACAGCCATCCCAATGTGAATTTCTTTTAAATACTTGTACCATATTATCCATTAAAATCTCAATGTCATATCCACATAAATTATTGTAATCTGCAATTTAAAATTACAAGTACCAGTTTATACTAAAAAACATTCAATTACTCTGATTCACAAATAACAAATATGGTCAACATATCAAATAACTTTTGTAACAATTGTTATCAACACCTGTCTACTTTGTGTTTTATTATCTACTGTACTGAGTTTATTTGCAATCTTGCTGTTTCAAATAAAAGGTTTATTAAGCTGAGTAAAAATTTCTGTGTATTTGTGTATAATACTACCCCACCCCCATTTGCCTTTAATTTTTGTTCAAAGTTTTTCATATGCACAAGTAAATACAGTAGGTTGATGACCTGCTCCATTTACATATAATATTAATGTTGTGAGGGAGGATATTTCCCTACAAGTTTAGACTCGGCCATCAGATGAAAGACAATAATACTCCTACATCAAGAGGAGTAGCAGGTGGAGCAGTAGCAACAGAAGTCTTTATTGAAAACAGTTAGTTATTCACGGTTAAACAACATTTTCTTCCCTAGTTTCTATACTACATTATGTTTCCCTGTACCAAAAGGTAATAAACTTGTTGTTAAACCAATTCTGGTTTTCTACTGTTGTTTTTGATAACTCAGCTACAGCAATTAGTGTGTTATGTATTTAGGCTAGGTACAAGTTGTAATTGACTATGGTATATGAGTAAACATTAGTCTACCAGATGCCACCATCTTGTAGATAAAACCCAGAAGTTATTTTTTTTTTTTTCTTTGTTAATTTTTAAGCAGCTCTTGTGTGGAGGGGGGATATAAATGCCACTGAATAAGTTAATTCATGGAATGCAATTTATTTATTTATTTATTTTTTTTTTCCTGACACCATGTCTATGTGGGATTCAGTCGATCATAACTCTCCACATATTTCTTTTTCACTATTAGCTGTGAATTGACATGACTTGTTGGGTAAGATATAAATAAAAAAAAGAAAAGATTAAACCACTTTATATCAGTGATTTTTATCTCATATTCTAATTGTGTCATTTATTGTTTTCCTGTTTCTTTGATCCACTGTGAGAGAGAGAAAAAAAGAAAATAGGCTTTCCTTGTGTGTATTGTACACTGTGAAATAATAAGTGTTGCAATTGTCACATAAGCTTTTCATTAAATATTATTGGTCCTGACCTGGCATCTCAGCTTCAGTCAATTTCTCACTGCTGTAATGTAGCTTCTCTCTGCCTTTTCTATAAATATTTTCATGGCAACTGTTCAGATGAACTCTTTGCACTGTAGTAGATTGGCAACAAGGTCTCATCAATTTACATTTGAATTGGCTCAATGTAACCATAAGTTCCATGGTAACAGTTTCTTTTCTCACACTTCTCACTTGTGGAACTCTCTTCCGGTTCCATGCTTTCGAGCCAAATTTGATCTTCAAAAATTCAAATGCAATGTCAATTGTTATCTACTGTCTTCTATTGTTCTGGTTCCTTAATAATATTTCTCTTTTTTTCTTATTCTTTGACACTTTTTAACCCCTTGTATCTTAATGGCTTTACTGCCTTGCATGGGGTGAAATGATTAAAAAAAATCAAAACACCACAATGCAGTTTTTCAAGAGGAATCATTTGCATTCACAGCTAAAGCGTATGCTAACAGGTGACCAAATTTTTTGCAATCAAAACAATATGCAGCAGTTTGATGTGGTGGATTGGGAAATTTGAAATGAGGGCTGTATTCTACTGTATTCTTATTTAAAAAAAACTTTGACTCTAATTGAAAATTTACTTACTATATTTTTCTGTTAGTCAAAGTTTGTGAAATAAGAACTAAAGTTTTCCTTATTCAAGTCTCAAGAGCTACTCTTGATAGAGGGTTACTGAATGTGTGTGATATTGAATGTAAGAGGATGTAGTGTAAGGAAGGGTGGGTAGATAGGTGACACTTGGATCAACTTCTGCTAAGTTGGTCTAACTGATCAGTTCTTCACTTCAATTTTGCATCCATCCCAACATCATGACACAACTGGATAGTCTGTACCAATAAGCAGGCAGTCCAGAACTCTCCTCAGTCTCCACTGTAACCATTGATACAGACCTGCAAGTGGAATTCGTCAATGTCTGGTTTTGTTGTTGCTTTATCCCCAAAGATTTTCATCTATTTATTCTTTTATTCCATTTCATTCAAGTGTGTGACTGTTTCAAAGACTGTACTTCGCAGACTTTATTGCTGGTCATAAATCATGAAACACTTGGGGGTGGGGGAATAAAATGTAACACTTTCTATTTGGTTATCCCATTCGTAGTGTCACAATTCTGCTATTTGTTGAATGGGCATGAAAATGTTATTTTGTTATTTATTTTATGAGTTTGTGATTCTTTTTATTATTATATATATATATTTTTTTTTTTTTTCAGTTGTGTTGACCATCCCCTGTCAATAATGGTTCAGAAATATCAGCACAAGTTGTGTCGTAACTTGCTGAAATTAACCCAGAACAGATTGCATGAGTTGAATGATGTGACTGTGCCATTAGAAACATCACTGACTACTTACAGAACTGACCAACACAAAGCTTCTTGTCACTCTACACCAAAACAAGATCCAAATTTTTCATTCGAAAAAGCTGAAAAGAAATCAAATACGAACATTCCAGAAGAAAAGGACAAACCTGTAGATAAGTTTACAGACAATGAAAAAGAAATTTTGTCTTCTCCTGAGGACTCATTGGCTGATGCTGTTGTTTCTACAAAGGCTCAGTTGAGAATAGCTTACGATGTAGGAAAAGAGACCGAATCGACATTGTGTCAAGATATTAACAACACTCTAAAAGCTACTGAAAGTTCCAAAATTGACACAGATTTAATAAGTGACAGTGAACCTAGTGAAGAAGGATTGGACATATCGGAAATGTCTGTGTTAATATCCGAAGAGGACAAGGAAACACAGGTTGAGCTGCTGACCAATGAGGCATATAAACGGCATTTACAAAACTTTACAAAAGACATTCTACTTTATATGGAACAATTGGTGAAAACATTCACAACGGCATATGAAGAACTTGGCTCTGCTGAAGGCAGGGACCAGTGTTATGCATACATTGAAGATAAATTTTTCCGTCCTGTGTGGCCCCATTTGATTTTGTTATACAGGTTAGTTATACAGGTTACTTAACTACATGTATAAATCAATGCTTTAACCTTAGAATTAAAAGTTCATAAGTTTAAAATTATAAAATCTTAGGGTTGAAAAATTGAAAATTATGAAACCTTAGATTGAAAAGCCATAAGCTGAAAATCAGTGTCAAGTATTCTTTGTCTAAATAATATAGCATGTATATATTGGAATTTTTAGATGAGGAATTGTCCTTGTTATATACCTTGCTATTTAGTTCAGCATATTTCGGTTGTTGTAACCTCCAGGTTTCTGCATATGTTTTGTTTCAACTAAACCCTTTATTCAATCCATAGTGGATAGGTTTTTTTTCCTTCTACTTTCAATGCTTAGGGGACAGTTCTTATTTAAAACAGATTATGTGACTTTTCAGTAGAAAAGTCACATAATCTGTTTTGGTGGAAGAAATGCACAAGTGACACAAAAGGAAATATCACTGGTGAGTATATTAAATGATATGATTTATCTCCCTTGTCTATTGAATAAAGGATTTTGATAAAAATTTGAAGAATATTACCAAATATGATGATGTGTTCCTGAAGAAGGCTCAAGGGTAAAATGGATGAAATGTTGATAGTAAAAAAAGATGAAAGCATGATATAAATCATATTTGAAATTTAGGATTTGGCTAGTGAATAATATTTTGATGAAATTCATGTTTAGGTTAAAGACAAATCAATATAAGTTATGAAAGCAATTTTAAAAATTCTTTAAAACCTTTTTCATTGTTCACTGTATATGCTAGTATATAAAGTAGCTTTTTAAAATGAAAATCCTTTTTTAAAACCCAAGCAACATTACAAATCGTCAATTCATTAAAGAATTATAAGATGATGGCACATTACCAACGTTTGCAAATTTCAATTTATATGACAGCAGCTTAAAGTTTTATTGGTAAATACCAGTCTTATTTCAGTTGTCTAAATAGGTTTCTAACCAAAAACTCCTGTCTAATCAAGAACAATGAATGTGACTTTTTCTGTATCTCTTTCTGACTTTTTTCTTTGTATCTCTGTCCATAACTTTGGTCTTATTAAAGCAAAGAGATAAATAAAATTAATAAGTGAATCTGGCCCTGATTTCAACCATCGACCAGCATGGTAAGCAGGCATATGTCGTATCCATTCTGCTACTGTTCTGCTGCTTGAAGAGGTTCCTAAAAGTAACAATGCAAATACTAAGAGCACCCAGATGCTACACTGATTCTAAGCAGAGGTCCTTGGAGTAACACTAGGCAGTTATGTACCATACGTGGTACACACTTAGGTGATCATGTATCTGTTGATACATGACTGACGAGGCAGATTTTTTTTTCCCACAGTAGGTTGCCATTTCTTTCTGCGGTAGACCAGTTGCCATCCAAGACTATAGAACTTGGTTTGTCTTGCTATTTACCCATAGCTTGAGGGAGAAGATGAGGATTCACACCTTTCCCAAGGGTATCAGCATGTAAGTGAATGTAATGGATTTGACTGGAATTCAAACTTGGCTCTCCGACTCCTCAATCCAAGCTGCTATCCATTACTCCACTAGGCAGAATGCATAATTACAGATAAGCAGAGTGCACTAATCAGAAGTGTAAGTTCTGTGTGTGACATATTTATTGTAGGAATAATGCACAGATATTACACTGATCGGAGAGGGCCAGATAGTAATCATTACAGCACATAAAATGTAGTGATTAGAATCTCTAATTTTCTCATCCACAAATTTCCAATTTTATGTAGGTGAATATTAGCCTAACATCTGACACAGATAACAAATTCAAACTGAACCATTTATATTTAACAAAGACTCTTTAGGAGGGAAAGAAAGGGAAAATCATTTGTGAAAATAATAATATTTGAAGAAATCATCACATTTAATTAAGACATGGTTAATTGTAAAGATGTCTTCCTCCAAAGCAAAATGATGCCACTCTTAGTAGACAAATGAAACATATATGTTTTGTTTCTTGTCTCTAATAATGTCATTAGTACAGCTGGAGTAATTCTCTATCTAATGAAGAATATAAAAATGGTGCTCATGTTGTATCCATCAAATGTAGTAAATACATTGGAAGGAACTCAAGTCAAGATATATACCTGTATATTCAGTAAATAATAATTAGCAGGACACCTAAATATAAATGCAATTTCAATCGTTAGAAAATAATTATTAAAAAATGTAAATGTCAAATGCTAGAAAATAATAATTGTCAGAAAATGTAAATGTAATGTCAATCATTTGAAATTAATAATTGTTAGAAAATTTGTAAAGTCAATTGTCAGAAAATTTAAATGTAATGTCAATCGTTATCTATTTTCTGTCTTCTTCATTTTTGTTCTTTTATTGTTCTCACTTCTTAATAGTGCTCTTTCATCATATTCTCTAACACTCAGTAACTCCTTGTGTCTTAGTGGCTTTATGAAATTATTAAAAAAGAAAAGAAAATTTTGCTAATAAATTTCTTAATGCTATCCCTGGTACTTTGCAATCCATGACCATTCCCAGGTAGTTACGAGAAAAGGAACATAGTCTCTCTCAAAATACTGAAATGTCCTCATGAAACATGATTTAATCCCTCACTACAAATAACTGCCTTTAAGTTTACACCGCGACTCCAATCTTTCTCTCTCTCTTTATCACACTCCCTTTTTGTCTCTCTATCTCCCTCTCTCTTTCTTTTTTAGTCTCTCGTTTCTCCTTTTGGATGCTCAACACAGTCTAGGTTTTATAGGATTAGTGTGACACATACACACACACCATACCTAAGTAGGTACAAGCATATTAATATACAGATAATCACAGAGCATCATGACACTGGGCTAAAATTATATGAAGCCCAATGAACCTATCATGACACCCAGTTTGATAAGGAGTATGCCGGGCACATACATCACAGCCAAATGTGCTTTGATAAAAGCAGTGCATAACTTTGCATATGGAATCTAGTCAAATAAACATTCAGGTTGAATTACCCAGTCCATTCAGATGGTCTCCAATATCTATATGTGACTCGTAAGCTGCCTTGGCTGCCTCATTCAATAATATTATTATTATTAAAGATTTTTTTTCTTTTTTTAAATACATTTAGTTTCTTTGCAAATAAAGTTTATAATCTTGAGGATTGTTGATATGCTATGCTGGTTTCTTTGTGACATTTAAGTTGGTAATGAGATTGCTTGGCAACACCCATGTCTTTTGTAAAGTTATTTCTGAAAGTACAGATGATTCAAAACTTAAATGTCCAAAAATAAATCTTAGAAAAAAAAATGATTTCTGTTCAATAAACCCATTTTGAAATGAATATTATAAACATCTGGAAAATATTTCAACCAACCTCTGCTAAATATTAATTTCTTTTCTTTCTGTTGGCTCTCTATTATGTAATAATTGGAATTTTCTAGTCTTGCTTAATTCCCAAAACAGAATATTGAAAATTCATTTTTTTTCTTAGCATAATGCTAAATAAGATGTATTTTCACTATTCTTTTTCTCAAAAAGTGGATGGCCATTTTTTTTGTATGGTAGCTTTCATTGGAAAAAAATAAACTCAATTTAAAGGTGAGTAATGTTAAACATTATTTCTGTTATTGGTCAAAAAAGCTATTTTACTTTGTGTAAGTTTTAACAATAAAAAAGGTTTTTTTTTATTTTTTATTTTTTTCCAGAATTGTAAATCATGAGGAAGAGTTAAAAGCAGCCAAAATGATGACACAACACTTGAAAGCTACTCCAAGAGATTTGGGCATTAGCCCAGAACTTTGCCTTGAAGAATCCTCCACTGCCGACAATTATCCCTATAAAGCTGCTGTCTTAGAACTTTGTTCTGTAAAAAATTACACAGCACCATTACTGAAGATGGAATGTCTTGGTAAGTCTTTAGCAAAAATACAAATACTAATAAAATCCCATTGACATGGTAAATATCTTTATGCATCAGCAATTGATTCCAAATGTTGGTCCACCTCAAAGAATTCAAATAACTAGAATGAAAAAAAGCAAGAACAAAATGCCCTAGAGAGGAATAAAAAGAAGAGATGCAAGCAAATGGCTTTGCTGTGCATAGAATATGATGTTTATATATATATATATATATATATATATATATATATATTATTTTTTTTTAATTGATTCACCTCAAACAAATGCCAGTAAGGTGCAAGAAGTTACTGAGAGTGAGAGAGAATGAGAAGACTTTAGAAAGGAATTGGAAACCAAATCCTAAACAGGAAGTAAGGGATAAACCTCTACTCTTGTTCAAAAGGCCATGGAGGAGTGTGAACTGGGCAATAGTTCTATATGTCTATCTGTACATTCTCTCATTTTTCAAAGGTTGAATGATAAAGTCATGATCTGATTTTATTGCTGCTGCTATGATATCATAGGATTAATACAAATATGAAATTTATCACTTAGTTGATGAATATTGTATTTGCCACCCTGACTCCAGAGTTTCCCAGACAAACTTTTTTTTATAATTGTTTGGTCTACCCATCAGGAGGTATCAGCAATTGTCTGCTGGTTTTCTCATTTTCATTACTTTTGTATTGAATGTCTGTATGTTAGATTGTTTTTTTTTCTTTGTGTATGTGTCTATGTTAGATTGTTTTTTTTTCTTTGTGTATGTGTCTGTATGTTAGATTGTTTTTTTTTTTTCTTTGTGTGTGTATGTGTCTGTATGTACACATGTGTAGAATGTTGTGGTTATTTCTTTTTTCATAATTTATTGTTTCCTTATACTTTCTCACTATTTTTCGTTTTTTTCTATCTTGGTTGTGAGTGACAAAGATAGTGTTCTTTTTGGTGTCATAAGACCTTTTTAGGCTAATTTTTCTACAATATTCTGGAGGTTTCTTGAGTTTTAAAAATTTAGGTGTATTCCATTGATTTATTTCTTGTTGAAGTAATTTACAAACAATTTTTCCAATTTCACTCTTGAAACTTGTTGTTTGATTGTTAATCTTTCTATGGTTGAAATTGCCAAAGACTTAAATAGATAAATGTGAAAGAAAAAGATAGATGATTAAACAATTCATTTAAAATATGTCGAAGTTATTGGAACACCCTTTATATAGCATATTAATGTATGCTCTTTATATTATATAAAAAGTGATGACAATGATATTCTTTGTATATTGTTTATGTTTTTATTTAGTTGGCATGTGGGAACACAATTTTAATAGTTATGATTTTTTTCATTCTCCCCAACTTGCATGTGTCTATTTTTTATCATTACTTATTATTATGGTAAATATTATTATTTAATACTCTTCATCTTACATTCTTACATGTTTTATGTGCCATGTCCTGTCAGGACATGACACATAAAAGATCATGGCCCTCTACATTTTCCTGTTCTTTGTAGCTCATAATAAGTTTTAATGTTTTTGTTATTTCTTCCAAACCCTGTTCTACCATCCATTTGCTCAAGCTCATCAAGTATGTTGCACACTGCTTTCCTCTCTCCCTCACTGTCCTGTGAGTATTAGATTTTCCAAGTTCTTCTTCCTCATTATGTGCCCCCAAAAATTTCAAATGCCTCTTCCTGACACTAAGTATAAGTCTCCTTTTTGTATCCATCTTCTTGAAAACGTTGTTGTTGCTCACATAATCGGTTCATGGTATCCTCAGTACGTTTCTGCAGAACCACATTTCTGTTGATTCAAGTCTCTTCATCTTTGAGGAAATTGTCTCCTTACCCCCACTCCTTTCTATTGCACTCAACGTTATGCACTTGACCACTGTGTCTATTTGTTCATTTTTGAAAAATAATAATGTCGTATTCTTTGTGGTTTTTAAAAATAAACTGTTGAATAAAATTAGCCTGATGAGGCTGTGAGGTTTAAACCAAAGTTGTGTATTCTGTGTGACTTAATTTTTAAAGTTTAAAGCTGTACATGTTATTTATACTTTTATTTTAATTTTTTTTTTTTTTTATATGTGTATTGAGCACTTTTTATACTACTGTTTCCTGGCTTGATTCAACTCTGACCATTAACCTTATATATATATATATATATATATATATATATATATATATACCCCCACACATACACATATATGTATAGAAACATGCACACACAATTACATGCACATGTGTGCCTGTGTTGAAATTGTAAATGATTTTTTTTTTCTTTTTACCAAATATTAGGGTACTAATTATGGGTGGTTGGGTTTATGGAGTATTTTCTTTGTTATTTGAATTCATGTATATAGGGTATGTAATATACATGCCTGTACTGTAAATACAAAAAGTGTCTGTACTTGTGTTGATGAAATGAAACCTGGTGCATGTGAATAATTACAATAACAACAAAGATTGTATAATAGACAGGTTTTGTTTTAGAAAAGTTTATATTGGAGTTTTTGAGATTAGGGTTTATCATTATTATATGGCTGAATGTTTGGACAGGCAGGGTCATTTTGATTGATAGGCAATAAAAGATGTTTGTATATCATAAACCAACATTTACCAGGCAATATCTGAACTTCAATTCTCACTATCCATACATTAGCAAGAAAAAGATTGCTGAGTACAGCATGAGACCAAACTCATCAGTGACGAGCCTGACACATACCAACAGGAGCTGATCAGTATAAAGATACTGTTCATATTAACAGTTATTCTGCAAGTCTTGTTGGCTTCCGCAAGCAGGGACAGAAGGATGAAGGACATCAAAATCTGCCACATTTCTGTCTAGCCAACATAAGAAGTATATTTTAAAAGAAAAAAAAGATTAAGAAAATGTATAGTGAAGTCATCATTCAAAAGCAATTCAGCCAAACAAAACCCACTCAAAAAGAGAAGATGATCAAGAACTGTGAGTGCAAATTTGGCAAGTTTAGATAAACTTCAAAATCCAGGAAGTGACATTGAAATCATGCATGGCTGATCATGTATGGAGGGTAAAGAGTGACTGTCAACCCCCCCTGTGGAATGAAGTCAAAATAATAGACAACAAATGACACTGATAATGAGTAAAAAAAAAAAAAAAAAAATCAGTGCACATGTTATGTTTTGACAACCTCCTCAGTAGACCTTGCATAGAGATGAACACCACTTGGAAACTTTTGATTAAAAAGAAAGGGCACTCAAAAGATATTCCATTACCTGAATCCGAAAACTCATTTGTTATAGAGACTTTTTCACACTTATTATTTTAAAGCTGTATATATTTGCTAGTTTAAAGATAAAAAAAAAAGAATATTTACCTTTTTAAGTTTATTTAATAAAGAAACTAATGTCCACACTTTGTTTTTCCCTCTTTAGTACGTGCTATACGTCAGATTTGTCAGTGTATAAGTGAACACCAACAGACTAAACAAACAACAGTCTTATTTGCTTCTGGGGAAGTGTCGCTGCCTAATATGTAAGTACGCAGTCTTTTATTTGCCCAATTGTGATTGCTGCAAATACTGAGGCAACCTGTGTCATTAGTTGCCATAGGTTCAAAAGTCTTTTGTTGAAAAATCTGTTCAATGGCTGATACATGCTCTGTTAGTCTAGTACCATGTTTGTCAACCTCTTTTTTTTTTTTTTTTTTTTTTTTTACTTACTTACTTACTTACTTCAGGGCATACAGTTATAGAAGATTGTATTTCTTGTGGAATAAATAGTGAATTCTTTGTATGTGCACTCTTCTGCACATTCTGAAATTGCATTTTCCAATATTATAGAATACTAGACCACCCATGACTCATTGGGTCAACCTTGTACATACTGTTTACATTTAGTTTCATGAGTTTGTGAAAGTAGAGATTTTTTCAAAAATACATTTATTTGCAGTTATTGAAGTTGCTTTCAACATTAAAACATTGTGTGTTTGAAGAAAGTTGAACAATAAGAGTTGGAAATGTCAAAATTTGGAGTGTTGGGATTTGATGCAATAACATGAAATATTGTGGCAGGACTGCATGTAATTCAGCCATTTAGAATAATAAAATGATTTTCATTGAAAGAATAAAATTCATTAGAAAAGACAACATAGTTTCAACAAATGAACATTAATATAAGAAGAAGAATACAAGCAATTGGTCATAGATTGGAAAGTAATGTCTTTTTGTTTGGGTTAATAAAATTTGGAAATAAAGTATAAATTGTCTTTGTATATGTATGTGAGAAACCATCAAATGTTATGTGTGTTTGTGCGAGAAAGTCAATATGTGTGTGTGTGGTTCATAGTAAAGGGGAAACAAGAAATAGAAATTGTTTTTTTTACTGTAGATGTTGTTGCCGTAGTCTGAAGTGGTCTCTTTGAAGTTTGTCAGTGCTGTCACTTTTAGCATGAGGTTGTGAAGTTCACAAGTGAGAGTGGCATGGAACATGATGACAGCTGTTTGGGGCAGGATTTTGTGTGTTTTATACACTTTCTTGTCAGAAAATTGGTTTCATTCCCCACTTCTTTCACAATAATAAATTTAAATCTTTCTTTCTCCAGTTCCCATATATGACTTGTTTATATCTTTCTTTCCCCCATTCTCTATATATGATTTCTGGCAAACCCACTAGATACAAAGTTCACAGAGTTTTATATAATAATAATAAGATTGAAAATAATGTTATATATATTTGTGACTTTTGAAATTAGTAAGTGAACTTTTTCCAAGTGTCTCCACTATTTAGTTAATGCGCTGAAGGATTTTTATATTTTTATTACTTTAAAAAAGAAAAAGGATATATATATTCATCACAAGTTTCAATGTTCAGATCTTATGTCTGATATATTGTCTCTAACATTACAAGATCATAAGGTTTTATCAGCTGATAACTGTTATAAAAATTCAGGATGCATTGGTGCACCTGGGCACACCAGTTGAGAAATGCTGGTGTAGCAGAGTTGTAAGTAGTATGTTGTTTTTTTTTCCTGACTAAGAGAAATGGATTCATGCCCTTTTTTTGAAGAGGTCTTTTTGCAGATCACTGCCATTTCAATGGAGCATATATATCTTATAAACCAACATGAAATTTTATAGTAGTACTTATAAAGTAAAGGTTTGGGCAATATCTCACTCAATCAGCAAAGCAATGTTAAGCTTAGTATTAACATTATAATGGGTATTCACTTGGGAATGCCAGGTGCTTTAAGCTTGGATGTGTGATGGATAATGGCTTAGAATGAGAAATATGTGAGAGCACAGTTTGAATTTGAATCAAGTTTGTTATATTTACTTACAAATACCATCTCTTCTCCCCTCACCTATTGGTTAAATAGTGGAGCAGACTGGGTCCTATAGCCTTGGTTGGCAACTAGTGTATCACAAAAAGTAATGACAGCACAATTCCTCCTAAGTTAATCATGTGTGAAAAAGAAACATGATTGTCCAAGTTTGTATTATACATTGCACCTAAAGAAAAAGTGGCATAAGTGCCAGTCATTGTGCTAAGGTGAGGTGCAGTTGAAATATGGTAAAAAGAATGCTCTCGGTATTAGTTACATTTGTATCTGTTAATATGTGATAGTTAATGACTTGTATATCTGTTAGTATGTCATAAAATGAATTTATCTCTTTCTAGAGGTGCAGATGATCTGTTGCCCATCTTGCATTATGTCCTCATCAGAACAGAAAGCCCACAGTTGGTGTCAGAATGTGTTGCCATTGAAGAATTGGTCCATGAAGGGTGAGTTGAAAGAGACATTTCAAAGATTTTCAATTTATGTTTATTCTATATTTCTGACGGTTAATCTATGAAATTTCTAAATGCAACATGATTTTTTTATCTTAATTCCTGTTTTCCCTCATTAATAGTGTTTCTTTTTCTCATATTCTGTAACACATAGTAAACCCTTGCACTTTAGTGGCTTTATTGCCTTGCTTGATGTCAAATGATGAAATGTCTGTATTCTTGATGAAAAGTTTTTCTTTTATGACTTGGGTAGTCATTTAAAAAATGATTTTCATATCAATGTTGGAAGTGCATGAGACATTTTTGAAGTTTTTTTTTATACAGTCAAGTAAAATAATCAGTCAATTATCATGGGCTTTGGTCATGCTAAGCTTCTTAAATATGAACACTTGGTTAATCATGTTGAAAGCAAATGGCAGTTTATGTGAATAACTTAAATAGTTACTGTTAATTAGTAAATTATAATTTTAATTACTTGGTAAATAATATACTGGCTTCAAACATTGAAATTCTCAGATGTATTTTTATTGTCTGTAAACCATAAGTGATTTTGACTGGAATCTCATCTTTGCTGCTTTTGTCAGAGTTGCAACTGCAGATGTTTTTCTGAAATGATTTGCTTGTCCAAGTAAAGATTTCTGTCATAGATAATTCTTTGATGTGTGCATGTAGAAGCAAGTAAAATGCAATTTGAAAAAAAAAGTTTGTGAAAATGGTAGATGCAGATGACTATACTAATTTTCCCAGCATAAAGGTTTTCTTTTCCAATGGGTGTAAGTGAGGTGTTTATTTTTATGGAATACAGATTTCCACAGGGTACAGAATTTGACTTTGTACAAGAAAATGAAAGCAGTAAATTGTGGAGAAAGATCCTGAATTGTTAAATTATTTTATTTCATGAAGTTCTTTTTTTATATAACTTTGAGTAATAATGTTTGATTTTAAAATCAGTTTTACTACACAAACTTAAATCTTTGATTTAGATCCCACATTTAAGACCCAGGATAGGAAATTAAATTTTTTGAATAAGTTAATATATTAATTTTCTAAGTAATTACAGGGGGGGGGGGGGTTAAAACAACAACAAAAAAACGCACACAAACAAAAATGATATGGGGATATTTTATCAAATATGTATGCAAATTGTATTCTTGAATTGTGAGCATTTCGCAAATTACCTCCCCTGTAATCCTTTTTGTCGTCTTCTCTTTGCAGTTATCTCCTTGGTGAAGGTGGCTATTGTTTGACATCCATTCGGACAGCTCTGGGATATCTGACCTCTCTTGCAGATCAACCAGCCAACTGAATTCCTAAAATACTTCATGCCCAAAAGAATTGATTGTTTTCTTTTCCTATGTGCTGAAAATGGCATTTCTTTTACCTTGTATTACTGACATTTTTTTTTTTAGACTTGAATCTTGTTTTAAAGATTGTCAATTTAAAGAAATGGCTTCCTTAAGAGGCTTATATTTTCATATTACTTCTGCACCCTTTTATTTTTTATCAAAAACATTGGGTAATCCCCTACCAACAAAAGTGACATTTGACACAAATCAAAAACGTTTGACAATACTGAAAATTTCCTTTGAATGTTTTACAGTGTACATAAATTTTTACTAGGTAACAAATTAACTTTTCATTTTTTTAAAATCCTAATTCAAAATCTTTATAAACATTTTCTAATGGCAATGAAAGGTGACAAAAAATGTAAAGTTTTAATTATCTACCCATCTGTTCAAAGAAAAGAATTGTAATGCTCTAAAGTTAATGTCAGTCTGATTGTAATAGCGAAACAAAAGATACAGAGAAATGTTTTTAATTCCATGTTTTGTGGAATATTTGTTGGCTACAATTTTTGATTAGCCACCTTCTTGGCTGTTTATAAATTCTTTACATGTCTGAAATGAAAAATATTTTTTTTTTAATTGTTTTAGTCTTTGATTCTCTGAAATATGATGTGCAAGAACAGATTTGATTTCTGACTGAGGTTCCTTATGTTCTCATGCAAGGTGTGGTCGCATGAATCCACTTTGAGATAAAATGTAGAGTAGAAAATTGGTAAATTAATTCTACTAATTTTCCTGGTTGCATTAATGTAAATTATCTAATGAATTTATCACAGCTCCATAACTGTCTTGTATTATTACCTAAAGAATACCTTGTAGGAAGCAAAAAAGTCATCTCTTATAGCTACAAGGTAATGAAATGCAGTAGGTAGCTACATTTTGTTCAGGTGTATTCATTCTTTTTAATATAAAAGTTGCATGAAAAAAAAAAAAAAATCTTCCACTGAATCAGTAATAAAGTTAAAGTTAAAGTCACTCCTTGCTTGGTAAGTAGCTCTGGCTTAATAAAAAGTCTCTTTTACTACCCATACTGGAAATTTATTAAGATATTAGATTTGTACTAATGTTGACAATAGTAGATAAAAA